AGGGGTCTGGCTGAATGGACAAGCTCTGACATTTAATAACTTACCCAACTTAAGTAATATGTTAAAAATAGTTCAGCATGTAGCTGAATGTTCAGGATGTCGTTGGACAATTCAATGGTGACAGGCAATTCCTTCACTTTAAAAGGACTGTAAAATGCCAGGAAAGCTCTGATTTATTTGAGGAGTCCCACTGAAACCACTGTGACTAAATAGGGATTAACATCAAGAACGATGATAACTTTTTTCTAGCTCGAGATCAGTGTAGTTCTTGTATCACTGAAGTCCCAGGTGTCAGACTTCTTGGCAAACTGCTGTGGAATTCTGCTACTTTAAGCGTAGCTACTTCATAGGCATTAAGAGTATTGAACATTTACTCAATTTACTTGTGGTTTGGGTATTAAAAACTTTGCAGATTTCTTCTGAGAGTGTCCACAATCACTGTTGTGGTGTAATGATATGTTTTGTTGCTGAAGTTGCTGTCAGAATGCAGCAACAATTGTCTTTATTGCAATGAACTCTTTGTCCTTGTCTTGCCCAGTAGATGGTGGTGTTGGCTGATTTTTCTAATTTATTTTAAAGCTGTGCATTAACATATGTGGAGGTTTTGGTCTTTTTTTTTTCCTTTGCACTTCACTTGTTCTTCCTTCTTTTTTTTTTGTCTGTCATTCCAAATAATAATTTTACCATATATAAAACAATAGCAACTTTTATTCTGATTTGATACCTGTGGGAACTGAAGAGATCTTTTACATTCTGAAGAGGGCACAAGTAACAGCAAACATAGATACTTTGATCTGTGTTGCTCTGAACTGGACACATGTAACAATGGGGACTTAATTTGAATCTAGATTGTATGCATTTGTTCCCAACAGGTTTGAGTTTTTAAGAATTAATCTACAATATGATAGGCATTTTGCATTGTGTGTGATTTTTGTTCATCCCACAGAGAGACAAATGCTCGAGTACTTCTATGAAATGTGGAAAAGAGAACTGAAAGCCCTTTAAGCATTCAATTAACCCTATATAAAACCACAGTTTTATATACACAGCCATCAGGATAAGGCAAAGAACTTCCATTAGAAATGGAAATTCTCTAAACCCACTGGAGTTATGCTTTGTCATGTTCCCTGGGATTTCCATGGTTCAGTGTTGCACGTGGTGGGCAAAGAATGATGGGCTGAACAGGAAGATAGAGAATATTTTCATAACAGCAGAAGGACCATAAGCTTAGCACAATAAAACTGAATTTGAGGAGGTACATAATTCCTTGCTCTATCAGATACCAAGAGAGTAAGTGTTGGGGTACTACTGCTATGTAATCCATAGGGTAACGTGCCTTAAGAAAAAATAGGTACAAACTGACAATGAATATGTGGAAATTAAAATATAAAAGGAAGTTTTTCAAGAAAGAAATTCAGGAATGGACTTTCAGTTCACTGGTAACAGAAAACATGTCTGCTTCTGAAACATTTATGAAATACTTTGTGTGATACTATTGCTTGTAATAGACAAAGGCTTCGTATTAGTGGCTTGTGGTACTTGCTTCAGTCCTGTGTAAATTTTCAAACAATTTTAAGTTTTTGGAAAATGTTTAATGAAAGTAATTTTGGTCCCAGTAGAAAAACTTAGCATGTGGATGGACAGAAATGGTTCAGAAATTATTGATTATGTTTGATTATTATTTATTTATGCCTTGGATTCACTCAATATGTTCATTGTCTATTGAATGAATATTAAAACCTTCCTGGGGATAAAACTAACAGTCATAAAAGCTGAAGTTTTAGTATATCAAGGCATCATTTCCCAAAAATGTGAAAAGGTATCTCAGCTCTGAGTGGAAGGCATCTCTAATGATGTTTAATTGGAAGCTATTGTTCTTGATCTTTGTGGAAACTGCAGACAAGGCAGCTGAGTAAGTTCTATGTTGTATACTTACCTGTTAGCAGCTGGACTCTTCCTGCCAACTCAGTTACAATATGTTTGCATTAAAAGAATTGCTGTTACTTGAGCACGTGTATTTTTCCCTCATTGCTTGCCTGTATGTGAAAATTTGGAAGTTAAATTTCCTATCCAGATGCTATATTTGTTCCTGTTTATCTTCATGTGAATTTGTTCAGGAAAGGTGTTGAGGTTTCTTTCTCTTCTCTGTCGTTGTCTGATCTTTTAAGACCATTGGCTTCATAGCATGGGACAGAGAAAACTTTTAGAGATTACTTAAAATTTGCCAACAGGCATTTGACAAAAGTCAAGTGGATTGAAGTTATACACAATTAGCCTTATAATTTATTCTCTTTAAAACATTGAAGTGACAAAAATCAGTCTTTTTTGTGAGTTTATTTGTTAAGTGCTTGGTTATGCTCTTTGTTTCCATCAAGGGGAGTTTCACTGTTTGATGAAATGAAGGCAGATTGAAGGGAAATCCCTTTATCCAGTGCAAACTTCTCTATTCACTTAAGGAGTTTTGTGACTTGAAAACAAATTTTTACTTCTCAGAAAGCTATGGATCCATCCTCAGAAGTTGGCTCAATGGCACTGTCACCTGCTGTGACATTTCAAACTGTCAAGACACTTAGGGGAGTGTCTGGGAGGACTGCCTTTACTGTATTTTGGCTTGGAGGAAATATTGTGATGAAACCTTTACTTCTAGGTTTTCTGTTGCCTACACTCTTAAGTAGAAGAGGCTTACAAATGTGTTGAATTTTTTTCATAGGCACATAAACCACCATTAATCTAGATGCTTTTTTGTCATGCTTCCAGCAGTATACACTAGTTGGCATGTTGCTCTGGCAGCTCTTACCCTGTGATGACTTTGTGCAGCTTGCTGCTTTGTACATCTATTTATCCTCTTTTTAAGCAGTTAACCTTTGTCACAAGCTGTTCATGTCTTTTCCTCCCCAGCTAAAACCAGAGGGTTACTTCCCAGGTCTGAGGTATTGTTCTGGTTAGCCACAAAGAGCTTGGTGTATACATCCGTGCTGGTGCTGTCGCTGGGAAATTCGGGAGTGAGAGCAGTCGTGAATTCAAGTTTGCCTCCAAACAGGAGCTGGAGGCCTCTGACACCAGTGAAAGCAAGGCTGCAGGCGAAGCCAGAAGTTACAGTGATCAGTGAGGCAGTGCCCAGTTGGACTGTTGTGCCCTCCCACCTGCTAAGGCAGTGGCAAGTTGTCACTCCCCATCACTGAGACCATCTTAGCGTGGTTGCCTGGCTTTGAGAAGCTCCTTGAGGAGCTCTTCTTTAATGGTTCAGCTCTTGCTGCTGTTAACAGCCTCCAGGGAAAGAGTGGCTGGGAGTTGCCTTCCCTGCAGTCATCTGTCTTCTATTGTTTGGTGCCTATCAGTCGGCAGTGAGCCCTCTGGAGCCAGAAGGGCTGGCAGGTCACTGCACTACCTGGGGGGATGTCCTTGCATTCCACAGTGGGCCCCAGTTGGAGGAAGAACATGTGTGTGGTGTCAGGGCTGGCCATTGATTGAACCGTGCAGAAACATCCCAGGTATTTAGGTGTCCCAGGACTGTTCAGAAATACCTTTGGTGCATGGATTTTCCAGCTGACATTGTATGAAGGTGTGAGAGGGTGTTTCGAAGAGCTGCTCAGTAACCTCCCTGTGCCCAGCCTGCTGGTAGGCTGCAGCAACCTGCAGGTGTCTTGGCTCACGTTCCCAGCTTGCCTGCTGTGAGACAGCTCTTGCAGAGCTGGAGCTCTTGAAACTGAGGAAGGTTTTCCCTCTGACATCCACCTGTTGCAGAGGCAGCACAGCACAAATAGCAAAAATGAGCCTAACCAAAATAGGAACAAGACTGAGTGTGTAAGTCAGCTGTAAGACTCTTCTGAATAGTAACTCTGCTGCTTTTCTGTGGTTGGAACAGCATGAATGTCTCTCCACAAACTGAAGCATCAGCACGTGGTGTTTAATGCATTTGGTTGCCTTTCAAAGTTGAACTCATGGTGTTTCAGTCCAGATGGATTTATCAGCAGTTTGTCCGTGTTTTCATATCTGTTGTGAGCACAGCTGATCACAAGCAAGAATCTTAGCTCCAGACATCTTATTATTGTGTATGGGCCTCTTCTTCCTTTCCTTCCCCCCAGCTTATTTCTTAGCTGTTCCTTGGGGCTGGAAGGACTGTATTAGTGAAAGCACACTTTTTAAGTGTGTGAATATGGGGGTCACCTTTGCTTGCAACCAGAATGGCTTATTTTCAGTACTGTACCATGGCAGCGTCCAAAGTGAGGGGGTGTGATGTGTTCAATAGCCAGGGACAAAACACTGCCTTGAGCTAAACCCATGTCACCAGCTGGGCCTGCAAACCACGTAGTGACTGGGAAGCAGAATTATTTTCATGTGGTAGTGCTGTAATCACTACAGCATTGGGAAGAACTTTTCTTCTGGCAGCAGGACGGCTATAACTCGCAGTGCTCCAGTGTAAGCACAGCATGTGGGGCATTGTTGAGCCTTGTGTCTGGCTGACAGTAATATCACATTCAGCGTGTAATTAAACACCTCATAAACTGCCTTGAGATGTTTGTTTATGTGTGCTTTTTAGTGGAGAAGTACTGTGTTTTCAGAGGATGCTGAAATTTCTGTATTCTGTGAAGCATTTGGTGTGTGATGTTAATTCAGCTCCCTTGTCCTCAGAAAGAATACTCGCTGTCTGGAGTGTGTTATTTTGCTAGCAGTGAAAAACATATGGTATGGGGATGTTCCCATGAATTTGTGTTACTGATTTGGTTTTCTTCTTTAGTATGTGTGTGTATGTTAGATATTGGAGACATCTGTATCAGTATCTATTGCAAATTAATATTTGCAGATATCAAAATGAATTCACATTTGGCTTGATCAAAACAAGAATGAGTTGTTTTGAATTCCATGGGGATAAGCAGAAACACATAGAAAATAGGCAATGTGATGAGGACACCATGTAAAAACTATATTGAATAGAAGATACTTCAAGAGACGTCCAGTAAATTTTTACTATGCTCTGTGCCATTTGTTTTGTCTTACAGTTTAGAGTCAATGAATTTGGGGCCCTGGAAGTAATTACAGATGAAACTGAGATGGAAAGTGTTAAAAAGGCAACTGCTACCACAACCTGGATGGTTCCAACTGCTCAAGAAGGTCAGTTAAGAAGCAGTAAACATTTTCTGTAGTAGACTGTAGTTTCTTTAATGCATCAACTTTCCTTAAAGCTTGCATCCAAAGTAAAAAAAAAACAATTTACTTGCTTTAACGGGCAAAGTATCTCTGATGAAGTAACCTGTTTCTTGGGATGTAAATTACTGTGAAAATCAATTCATTTCAAGTTGAAAGGAAATAATTCCACTGTTAAACATCTGAAGTTTAATTACAGCAACATTTTTTTCCTTACAGTAATTCTCTCTAAATTTAGAATTGGCATTTTCCCTCTATTTAATTTGCAAAATACTGAATTTCTTTTAATTATTGAGAATTTAAAATTTTAAGTTATTCAATTTTTTGTTGAGCTGGTTCTCCCAGACTGCCCACAGACTTTGCTAATTTAGCCTAGAGTTGTTTTGTGCACTGCAAACTGCCTTGGTATGGTCAGCACAGCTGCTACCACCGATGTCAGTGTTAGATGTGCAGTGTGTACCCCCACAGATGCCTTGCTCCTGCCAACTGTGCTTTTTTGCAGCATTAAAATCAATCTGCAGTAATGGCTAATGTTTATCTTGAATGGTGAAATTCTTAGAGTTGCAGTGTCTATCTACCAGATAACTTGTTTCCGGGATTTAAAATTCTGAAGTAAGAAGCACCTGTTTTGTTCAAGGAAAGTTGGTTTGCATGGTCATAAATTACTGCAATCTTTTTACACTGACTCCAGTAATGATGGAGTAGTGTGAAAGAGAATATCACAACTGGTTTTGTGATTATTTACAACAACCTAGTTTTTTTCCTTGTTGGTATTACATTTTATCAACTTTCTTTTAAAATATGTATTCTGTAAGTCCTTTGAAAAGCAGACATCACAATTTTTGTTTCATAATCATCCCTATAAGCACGAGAAGTCAGTGAGAGCTGCTCCCTCACCATTAGTTCATAATTGTCATGTGGGACATTAACACTGTTAGGAAAGTGGTTTGGGCCCCCCTCGAGGTCTGAAGTTGCAGACCACTGTTAATGTGTGCTCCAGCAAGGCTGTGATAGTTAATGCAGGTTTCAAATCTGTGATGAGAGTAGCATCCTTGTGACAGTGTAGTAACACAACAGGTTCTCTGCTCAGACTGAGAGATCAGTTACCGACAGCAACTGCATCCCCTCCAGTCTGACAAACCTAAACAAAAACTTGTGTTTCTACTGAATTGAACTCTGTTTATGGACATATAGACGTATTGAGTAAGCATTCTGCTACTACCCTACACCATCCTTGATTAATGTAGTGCTCCCCAAAAGTAAAAATACTGCTAAAATTTTCTGTTGTGAGAATAAATAGTTGCTTTGAACCACTTACGATGTTGCTGTGTAAATATAACATACATTATGTATTCTTCTGGGGGAGATAGCCTGCATGCAAGAGTTCATTTGACTCTGCTTTCAAAGACAGTACAGTGCTTAAGCAACATAAATAGTCTGTGACTTGGAGTTTGCCTTTTGGGGCGGTACAAAGACATCAGCCTGCTCTAGAGGCTGGAGTACTTGACAGTGCTTCACACTTGCTTTTGAGGGAAAGTAACTACACTCTCTCCTACATATAGCCTCTCCTAGGCTCTATGTGGGGAAATTTCAGTTTAGGATCAGTTTAATATTTGTTACAAATTGAGTGATGTTTCACTTCTGGTGGACCTCAGGCAGGTTGAGCAGTAGCTGCTGCTAGAGATTGCAGACTGTAGTCAGCGATTTGCTTCCAGAAATAATTTCACCTAATGAAAAGATACTCATCCTAACCTTTTTCTCCCAGATTTAGGTATAGGCATATCAGCAAGAGATGAGGTCCTGGATTCTGAGTGGTGATAACTCTGTGGGCAGTCAGTGCCTGTCACAAAATGCAGTCCTTCCACAAGTAGCCACATCAAGCTGTGACAGAACCATAGAATAGCAGGTCCCTCTCTCCTACTGCAGTGTGAAAACCTGACTTGCTTGTCAGCAATCTCATACAAACACTAATTCCTACTTGTTCATTCTGACAAGAGTGGTGTGGCTGATGTTTTTCTGTTTGCTTGGCAAGGCCTGCTAAGGATATTTGGGAATGTATCACCTCTGCCTAAGTGAAGTTAACTTTTGTCATTGTGCAGCCTTTTCAGAAAAGACAGGGATCCCCACCAGGTTGAAGGAAACTGCAAAAGTGGATGGACTTGTTTTCTGTGAAAACTGTTACCGCTATGGTACCATAGAAGAATTTGTTCCTGAAGGGAAATTTTGCAGCCAGAAATGTGCCCAGCAAGTAAAAAACAAGTAGGTACTATAACAAAACACAGAAACAAAGAATTTGGCATAAATGCAGCACGAAAGTGAAGTGATGGGATAAAATGTTCATGGTGGGGTAGAGGGAGGTATTAAGCAGACAAGTTTCAGCGTCACCATTGGTTTATAATGTTCTTTCACTGTTTTTTGTGTAAGTGCCTTAACAACATTTGGTTTTGTCTAACACTGACGTTGAAGGCAGTCTTTTTTACTCAGTGTGCTGTGTTCTGCTGTCAGATGCAAGCAGTAAAACAGTCTATGGGATGCATGAATCAGTGTCAGACTCCCACCCTGTTTCAGTCATTGGAATTAAGATAATCAGTAATGAGATGGTTGGGGTGGTAAGTTAATTATAATTAAGTGCAAGAGCTGTTTTGTAGTTGACAGTGAGTGAAAACATGAGCATACTGCAGTTTCTCAGCTCCTTTTTTTCAGTTAGTGCATTTCATTTCATCATAAAAGCATGTTTGTGTCAGTGTGTCCATTTTGTATTGCATATTGCTAGATTATGGCAGTTTTAAACATTTATGATTTTGTACATTTCCTTCATTTTAGCTAATTGCTTCAAAGTTTTCTGTTCTGATTTCTTGTTTAGCAATTTGTACAGTCGCATACCAGCTTTCTCCAACTGGATTTGTGAGACTTAACAATTACCTGTGCCTTCCTCTCTCTAAACTGCCCTGCAGTCCTAAACATTTCACAGTTTTCTTCTCCGGGAGACTTGATGGTACATGAAAAAAGACACACTGTTTAAAACATGTAAAACTTGTTCAGCATAAGCTGACAGCTTTCCTTTTACAGTTGCTATTGTGTGTCTCTCAGATTAATTCTTTTGACAGACTTAATTTTCTGTAGTATTTCGAAGAATATATTCAGTGTAATACTATGGGACCCACACACTTACTTGCTTTTTTACTCATTTTATGAATATGAGAAGTGAAATAATGTTGGCTTTGTGTCATTCTGTGATAGAGAACCAAAGGAGGAAAATCCCAGCATGGAATGCAATGGGGAAGATGATTCTAAAGGCATTCGGAAAAGAAAAGCAAAAGTACCTCTCAGAGAAGAGCCCCGGGATAACGGGGAGAAGAAGGAGAATCCAGATGAAATTGTTAGTATGCATTATAAACCCATTCCTGCAAGTATTTGGGTGGGAGTTTTGCCTTGTATTGCAATGTCAGTAGCTCCATCAGTCCACAAAGAAAAGAGGCTTCATCACTCTGTCAGAGCCACAATAAGTAGCTGTTTCATTTGCCAATTTAATTATGCCTCAGCAGTAAATTGTAATTATTGACAATGAATTGATAAAAGCTAGTTTTGGTCTCTTTTCCCTGCTTTTTAAATAACAGAACAAAAAGAATTTAAAGGAAAAATGATGCTAACATTGACTTGCCATGTCTTCATGGAAAAACAGGAGTGCATGTTTCCCAACAACCCTGTTACTTTGTCATTCTTCACATGAATAAATAACTATAGACCAATAATTTATTTACAAAGAAAGCTACGCTACAGTTAAGAAGGGAATACTTTAGATTTTCTTAGTGCAATTTGCCTTTAAAAATCATAGCCCAAAATTTGTTTTACTTTTGTGTTGCAGTGTAATTTGCTTTGGGGCACCTTTTGGTTTTTTTTCCTTTTGTAGTTATTCTTCATTTTAGAAAAAGCTTACCCCACAGTACCTTCCCATAATGCTTGTTTTCTGTAGTATGTGTTTTCTTCCCAATAGCTGTCACACTACTGGGGGTAGCACAGTTTTCAGGGAGAAGGGGAGAGTTCTGCAGCTACAGAATTGTCAAAAGGATGAAGACACTAGAGTTGTCTGGAGGGAATTTGCTGGTCTCCCAGATGAGTACTTACTCTGCTCATCTGCTCAGATGCTCACAAAACTGTTAATACAAAAACAGTAAAAAAAATTGAAAGGATCACAGTGCCATTTTGTATTTATTAAAGCAATTGTACATTTAAAAAAAAAACACAACAGAGTAAAACTGTGAGAGGTTTTCTTTTAAACTGTTTTGGAAGCATGAACATGCCAAAGATACTGTTATTCATCACTGTCTCAGTGGGGTCTGCTGAAGGCTTCATGATCTGTCTCTGGGTCAGGCAACGCTGGCTGGCTGAGTGCCAAGTGGTGAGAGTCCTTCTGCCTGCCATTTTCACTGTGTTTGCTGTGATTTGTCACTGATAGCTCACTTTGCTTCTATTAGACATCTGCACGTTTGTTTGAGGTAGGAGAGAGCTGGGTCAATAGCCATTTAAATGAAGTCACAGTTTAAACTTCAGTATCTCAACTTTTATCGTACTAGACTTCTAAGCTAATGAGGTTACTGTATTTTGTTGTTTTGGTTTTTTTTTCTAATTTAGGAGGACAAACCTGAAGGAAGGATCTTGAGAGTCTCTCAGAGAGCCAGGAGGAAAAGAAAAGGGGAGATAACAGTTTTGAAACAAAGTAAGTTATATTACGAAACAAAAATCTCAACCATCAACTCTTTAGGTAATAGCCTTATCTTATTGTGAATTGTTAGCATTGTTTCACAAAATTTGTATTCCCTATTGAATTTTTTTCATTACTGTAAAAAGACAGTGACAGTGTTATTTACAGCAATTAAATTTTAAGACATCATAGGGGAGGATCTGGTGAGTGTAAATGCAACTAATGTGCATTTTAGGTTTTTTCCTTTTCAACCCTCTAAATAGTGCCAGTATTAAAGTGAATCAGCTGCATTGAGTTCCCAGATGCTGAAAGACATGTATCAAGCAGAAGTGAAAGTTTACTTTTGTTTCCTTGGGGATCAATTTTGCATCTTCATTATGTGCTGGAAACAGACACGTTTATGGAACTGTTTAGGAATAATTGCTATAATCAATCCAAAGGGACATATACTGCATCAAGCAACATAATAAAACATAGTTTAAATGAGTGCTGTTCTTTCAAGCTATTTGTATGATAGATAGTTTTAGGAAGAATGGAAGAATCAGCTGCTATTATACCTCAGTGGTACACCAACCACAGACCTACATCTTGCCCTCCAGAGTGCTTCTTATGGTAGATGGGGAGACATTAACAGAGGTTGCCAGGCCACTAATCAACAAAGATCTCCAGTTAGCTCTGATGTACACCAGGCAGATGAACTACTGATTGAAGATGTAACAATTAATGTTATGAAAGATCCCCCTCCCAAGACAGAATCACTCCTGAGTTGTTTCTACAGTTGCTTCTAAGGTTGAAGAGATAAGAAGCATGTGAGACACAAGCACAAAGCTGATGCTTTGTGGAAATCACTGCTGCCCACTGACAGAATGATTTACAAATGTCTTCTGTTGGGTTTTTTTAAAAATTTTTATTGGGGAAAACCTCAGTATGAAAGTATAAACTGGTATCAAAGACCAATCTGTATTCAGAACCAAGCACAATTAATTTCTTTAATGGAATAGATAAAAACTGGGTAAATCCCAAATAAAATGTATGTGGTCTAATAGTGTTGAGCGATTACTATCACTCTGAAATTTATTATCTTTTGGTTACATTATTGTAAGCTTTCTTCAGGAGAGTTTGGCATTACAATTGTTATGGCTCATGTTTTAATCATAAAAAAGCTAAGCCTGTTACTTAAAGGATTTATTTTTCCTATGAGTAGCCCACAGTCTGGATCAAGCCAGAATCACGGTGTGGACTGCAATGAATCCTTCTGACAGCGTGAGCTTATGGTCTGAAATGCTAAGCTGTGCAGAGGAGGCATTTTAGGTGGAGATCAGTAGAGCAGAGTAGAGGTGTATGAAAGTAGATACATACATGGCCAACTGGTCTTGAAGTTGCTGGCTATTGCTATTGTGCAGGTAGTGCCTTATTTTCAAGGCCTGAAAACCGTGTGACTGTAGCCATTATTAAGATGGACTGTAAGCAATACTGCAATTACTGTGCAAGTGTTCATGCTGTGTGAACAAACCTGAAACTGGAGGTTTCTGTCATATGCTAATGACATCCTGAGGAAAAAAAGCACTGGTGACAGTTCTGAAGACTTGCATAAAATACTGTTAAATCACTGCCTTTCTACCCAAAACCATCAAACTACAAAGTGATGGAGTAGATGAGAAACAGTCTGAATACTGTTAAAGAATAGGGTCTTTCAATCCTGATTTAAAAAACTTACTATGAGCAGTATCCACTTGAAAATGCTTTCCAGTTAAAGAAGGACGTGGGGGAAAAAGAAACCCCTTAAAATACTGAGTTATTTTGTGTTTTGAACTCATCTTTTTACACATTTGCAAATTTTATGTCTTAATGCTTCTTAGGAGCAATGTGGAAAAATGCATTGGAGCAAGACTTTGTAAGTTGTTCTTGTCACCTGAAGGAGCTTTTTCTTGTTATTCATCAAGGTTTGTACTGCTGGAAATGTTTCTGGACAAACCAGGAACCTTTGTGTTCCTGGTGTCTTTCAGGCTACAGAACTTCTTTTTCTGAAATAAGCTCTGAACAGCACCATAAGTGCATTTCATAAAATGTACATTCAAGAATATTATGAACTTGCGTTGTGGATATTTTTTTTCTTGAGATATTAACAGTTACAGAATTATTTCCCTGTTTTATGCTTCTTTATAGCTGTACCCTCTAAAGGAAGGCAAGCATGGTGTTGGGCATCCTATCTGGAGGAAGAAAAGGCCATTGCAGTGCCTACTAAGCTTTTTAAGGAGGTATGACCTTTGAAATTAAAGTCAGTCAACCACCTAAGGTCATGAAATTCCTAGGAAATCAATAAACAAAAATAATTTGGAGATGTTATTCTTTTCTCTGGAAAATGTGCATGATGAAAATAATGCTGTGTCCATCAGCAATTAGGAAAGCAATTATCTCTCTCTGGTTTTTTCAGAGAATTCTGTTGTAGATGAGTGCTGTCAGATCAGACTGCAGAAAGCAGATGCTCTCCCGAAATCTGCTGTTCTAGCCATTCCTTCTAGTCTCTGAAGCTAAAAAATGTGATACATACCCACACTTTTTCATGCCATGTAATTTTCTTTAAATATGTTTAGAAAGGTGGTGCAAAGGTCATCTTTTGTCTTGTTGCTTTGATTATATTACCTGTCTTTTCTTCAGCTTCTGCTGACATTATATTTTGTTACTACATCAGATACTACTTTGTCTGGTTCTCCTTTTGCCTGTCATCTGATTGGATGTCACATCATCATGTCCTGCATGTCCTTTGCCTGCTATACTTTGTCATTTCAGTGCTTTCATTAGTGCCACCTCTCTTGCTTGGAAGAGAGCTCTGTATCCAAATCCACAAGATTTCTGTGCTGTTATCTTCCCTTGCAAAACCTGGTGAAACATGTGAACATGTCTCAGCTGCTGTACTCCTGCTATATGTTCCTTTTTTTTTGGAAACTCTCTTCTTACTTGTAGTCTGTTTAGTCTGTTCTTGCATCCATTTCTTTCTGTATCCTTCATACTTCAGCTGTTAAGTCTTCCCTGTGGGAATTAGCTTTCAGCTTACACATGCTGTGTGATGCTGGTCTTTAATTGGTAGTTTAGTTGCTATTGAGTTAGAAAAGTGAAGAAATAGGGTTTCATTTACAGAATCCATAGATTTGTAGGTGCAAGAACAACAGTCCCCTATCTTCAGTTGTGAAGATAGTGCTATATACTGGCTCAAAAATTAGCAAGCAAACAATCTAGGATAAAGAGTGTCCTAGTGGGAAGGTAGATTTACAAAGCATTGCTCTGCCTGTCTGAAGGCCCATGAAATGCTATGGCAGTACAAAGGCTTTGCAGGGCACTGCACACAGTACTGACATCTTAAGCAGTCAGTTAAGCAAAGTTTAAGTGGAGTTAAGCAATGTTTCCTCCACATTGTACCTTTCTTATTCAGTGCATCTTAATTTACTAGTTTCATTCTAAACCTTTAGCCCCTGGGTAGTGCTTGATCTAGTGTGCAACATTTAAAGCCTGTAGCAGAAAGAGAATTTTTAATAACACTCAGAATTGGCCAGGTAATTTTTCTGCATTTTACAGATGAACAAGCAAGCTGCATAAACAGATAAGGTAAAAAAAAAGCTCATACCAAACATCACAACCAATCATGAATCCTTGATTTGTGTTTGGATTTTGAGAATTACTCCTTTTTTCTTTTTATTTTACCATTTCAGAAGCAGTACTTTTCACAGGGCTGTTTCTTACCCTTAGTTAGGAATAGTCAGGATGATGGAGGGTCCTTGCTATTTCCTTAGACCTTAGAGTGATTTCCAAGCTGTGTCTCACAAGGTTTCCCATCCTTCAAAGTAGGTGATACCTCTCTCAGTATCTCCTTTGGTACCCTTCTCTTCCCTTTGACTGCAGAGTACTGCAGTTGACTTGGGAGCGTGTGTCAGCTAGACAGAAACAGAAGGGAAAGAGAACATTAATGTTTTTCCTGTTTTTTTTTTTTTTCTGTAACATAAAACTGACTGTGAATTTTCTAACCTGTGGAAAACAGGTTAGAAAACTGTCTTCAGTTTTGTTTACTTATTTTTCTGATCTTTCCTCCAATTTAACCTTAATATCTGTTACCTTTCTTCCTCTTTAACAGAGGGATGATGATGGTTGGTGATGATGCCTACTGATTGAAAAGGTGGTTGAGCCATCCTGCTTAGCCTCATTTTCACTTACTGTTTTTTAAAAGATACTCTTTTGGGTTCATTGTAATGTGATATAAGGGTATCACATTACAATGTGATACCCTTATATCACATTACATTGAATGTAACGTTGAATGTAACATTGAATGTAACATTACATTATGTTCCTGTGATGTAGAAATTCTCCTGGAAGACTACATAGTCTGGACTCAGCAAATAAAGGACAACAAATAGGCCATCTCTGCATACAGAGTGTTTAATATTTCTGCCTTTCAGTTCATCTTTCATGGCCTGAGATGTGGAACCGAAAAGGCAAAACAGAGTCATTGTTGTGATTATTATAGGAATTATGACCACCAGGAAAGTGTCACTGTACAGGCTGAAAATTAAATAATTAAATTGCTAAGATACTTTACTGGCAATTAGTGAAAAAAGTTGAAGAAAATGGTGTCATCTTTCCCTTGACTCTTTTGCTAATTCTTCATAATTTTTTTATATACTCTCAGTTTCAAGTCATTGTGTTTTTCAAACAATCATAAATTTCTCTTTTCCTCTCCACATTTTGAAAATGTGAAACTTAAAGTGATTTATTAGTTCCTTCAGAAACATGAATAATAAATAATGATTATTCTATTCCTTATAAAGATATTGTGTCTTTCTCTGGTGTACTCTCAGAAGTATTGAAACTGCTCTTTTCTATTGCAGTATCAGTCTTTCCCATACAACAAGAATGGATTCAAGGTAGGGATGAAACTGGAGGGTGTGGATCCTGAGCACCAGTCGATCTACTGTGTTCTCACAGTGGCTGAGGTGAGCAAGCAACCACAGCGCTGGTTTATAGCAGAGACTGAAATGAAGCAGCAGCAGCTGAAAACCCTCACTCTTACCTAACAGGCAGACAGAAACTACATGTAGGAAGATGGTTTTTAAATTAATAATGTTGTATTATTCCTGCCTGATAGACATGTAAAGAATATATCCAGTGTCAATGCAGCAATACATATATTTAACGTATGCAGAAAACAGTACAGACTACAGAAAACAGTATTAGACTAGTTGGATGGTATGTGGTTTTATCTGTAATCCTGTTGTTTGTATTTAAAAGGAAAAATAAATAGAAAATAAACATGGCAACTGATATACTGCAGTTTTATAGAAGTTTGATAGTATTTGCAGTTGCTCCATTCACTGATACAAATACCTAAAAGTTTCTCATGTTGCTGTTGTGCTAAAAGTTTTTTACGCTGATGGACAAAGAAACTGCCTGTATTAGCAACCTGTGGAAGTTAACGTAAAATATATACCGAGGTTTTTCTTTTTGCTGTGGTTCATGAAATAGTTTTTCTGATGAACAGCTTCTTAGCTTTCAATAGAGAGTCTGCTTCTCAGGCATATTTTGAATATCTTTTAAACATACCTTACTTTAATTTTTACGTAGTTTTAATGGGTTTTTGGATTTCATTTGTGAATTAAAATGGGGAAACTGGAAGTTATGTTAGAGTACAAATTGAATTTAAAATAGGGTTGATGTTGAGATTTTCACTGATGCCTGCAGTAAATTTGTGGCATTTGGCACTCAGGGAGATGAGGAGAACTTCCCTACAGAGACAGTATTGTGTCCTGTTTTTCTCCTCCTCTCAGTGGTTGACTTATTACTTCATGGAATAATGAAGTTTTGGGGAATACCACTACTGACTTCTCATCTTTACTTAAACAGTTTTCAGTATCTCTCTGGAGAGCCTTTTGAACATACTTATTGTTCGCTGCTCCCTTGCATACCAGTTAATCAGGATAGCTTGAGAACCTCATTATCTGCACTTTGTCCTTGGTTGTATCAGATGTATTCACGCTCTTCTGTAGGGCTTATGTTTTACTTTGATGCTGGGTTGAACCATTGTCAAGTTTTTGAGCACTACTGGCAATAGCCAGCTTTTAGTTAAATTCTTTTGACCAGAAGAGGAGGCACTGAGACTGAGAATAGCTTTGCCTTTTAATTCTCTCCCTGTTACCAAATGAATTTATTAATCCAGTGCTGGATTGGGCAGAAGTAAAAAGCTGACTGAAAACATACAGTTGTTATACATAATATTGAATGGAAGTGGTTATGTGTAGGGCAAAGGTCTTAGTGTTGTGTGTTGTCAATTCTTGCTTTTAGGTTTGTGGCTACAGAGTAAGACTACATTTTGATGGATACCCAGATTGTTATGATTTCTGGGTGAATGCTGATTCTTCAGACATTCATCCTGTTGGATGGTGTGAAAAAACAGGTCACAAGCTTCATCCACCTAAAGGTATTGCTTAGTTTAAATTTCTGTTTCTTACACAGTTCTGAGATTGAGAGTACCTGTGTAATGCTGGAATATTTTTTTTTTGTCAGAAATGGTTTAGTTTGTTTAGTCAAGAGTATTTGAAAATGGCAAATTAAATACATATCTTGCCTAAAATTTCAAGTTTGAAAGCTTGCCCCTTTTATTCAGTGGAAATTCAGAGAAAAAAAGAAAGCAAAATGGGCCATGAGAGTCATCCATAAGGCATTAGGAAAAAAAATACTGAACAGAAAACCTAGACCCCAGCTTATTGCAAGGAAAATGGCAGCATACTGGTGACACATATGCTTAAACTGAGGTCTCACAGGCAGCTGAGGATCCTTTAGTGGAAGGTCTTAGGACATTTTTGCTACTGGATAGTGATCACTGTTATTGTACAAATGTTGGTACAGACTAATAAAGACTGTGCTATTTCCACAAAGACTAAGTCTGAAATAGAGACAAAAAGAGGAATGAGCAGATCAATAGGGAGAAAACAAGGTAAGATTGCAAGGCTGAAAGTATAATTTGTACATGGATTATGTAAATGGTATACAGGTATTGAAATGTGTGTAATTTACTTGCATAATTTACTTCCATTTCACATTTTGTAACTTCTTTTGGCAATTGGAGGGAATCTGCACTGAACTGTACTATGAAAAATAGATAAATGTGGTCCTTTTGGAATATAGAGGGAGTATGTGGGGTGAAGGGAGCAAGTCCTGAAGTCTGAAAAGTGAGAAATAAATGAATGTGCCATTTTGGCAGACACAGTGAGGGTAGTATAATGTGATTTAGAAGGGCTGGAAGTGCACAGATTCAAGAGGATGCAGAGAATTATAAAACTGTAGGTGTAAGGGCTTGGCTGTGGAAAAGTGACAGTAAAGCCACTGGAAGTGTAGGGGCAGGGGGCCTGCCAGTGTGTGAGAGGATGGCATTTCTTTATGTGAGCCTTGAGAGGCATGAGCTGCTCTTCTGAGTGCTCTGCAAGCTCCACTCTGGCTACAGGGTTCTACTTTCTTTGGGACACAGTTCTGTATAACTGGCTGTGTAGAAATAGCAATTCCTTGAACATAAATAAGAATTTCTTAGAAGGTTAGCTTCTACTGATGTAATAACTTGTGTGTGGCAAATGGGTAGTTCCCAGTTACAGCCTTCCTGATGTTATTACAGTGTGCTTAGTAAGTTTTGTATCTGTGACAAGAATTTGTCACCTTTTACATCCTACATGCCTGGTTTAGAAAGCTCTTGTTAACGGAGAATGATTGCCCCTGGAAGAATTTGGTGGGGTTCTGCTTTTCCAAGGGGAAGGATAATATGCCATTTTTAGATTCTGTTTTAATTGGAATGGACAGATTGGTTGTATTTTGCTGTGTTATGACATTTTAATAATGATTTCTGTAGTGCCCATTGCAAATTTTGCAGATGCTAAAACAAATGAAAGTTATGACATAAGACACAGTATTTATGTAAAATAGCACCCCAGAGAAGCACTCAAAGATTTGTGTTAGTAGCCTTTAATTTTCCAGCTAAAATACAAATTTATGACCTTCATGGTGTAAACCCTAAGCAATTTGGAACCTGGTGGTCTGACTTGTGGGGGGCAGGGGGTGAGAAGTGAGGGACATGAGACAGGAAGAATATTATTGTAGATGTTTTCTGGAATGTATTTCTATCCGTGTTTATTAGAATGGAAAGGGTGGGTAACTCTTAGTGCTGCTGGGCAGGACAGGTCTTGTGATGGGATGTCTCCCACCCCCACAGCAGCAGGGGCAACAGGCAGCTGCTGCTGGCCTTCCAGCAGGTGTAGGAGAGCTAAGAGCCAAATTGAACTAGATTTCACAGAAATTAAAAAAGATGGTGGTCAGGACTCTATTCATTTTGTGTGGAAGAGGCCGCTTTTTATCTCACACAGGCAAAATGTGCAGTGAGAATGGTTGTACATGTATATATATGCATGCAAAAATTATATTGACTGATCTATATTTGCAGTGAATAAATCAAATTGACCTTTGGTCTTGTTATGAGAGATGAGTTAGGAGCTTAAGATCTCCCTTTCTCATTTGGTGGCAGGAAGACCCACACTGCCCAGAAACTGTTTCACAGTCTAATAAAACCAATTTTTTTTTCCATGGGCTTTGTCCTAGTCCCAGTAACTGATCCCTTCACTCATGCAGTAGGTGGGAGTTTTTTATTGTCTGCTGTGAGCTTGGACTTAAGTTTGAATACTCTCTAGAATTACAAAGCGAAAATGAAAAGCCTAAATACTGTATTGCTTTAAAAATGGTTTCAAATGATCTACAGCTGTAGTGTATCAAGACAACAGACAACTGGAGGATAAGGAAAGTATTTTTGTTTGGACTTGTAGGTTAATTTATGTTGACTACAAATTAAAATGAAAAGTGAGAAAGCCCTACGCAGAGAACGTGAAGGGTTTGGAACTTGCGGTTCCTGGGATAATATGAGAAGGTTATAATATGAAAAGGTTAAACAAAGCAGTTGTCTCTGGCATATTTGAGTAATGCTTCAAGTAGTTTAGAGGTGACACATTTCAGTAAAGGCAGACACTCACTGAAATTTGTTGTGGTTTTGGTCTTACTTTACTAAGTTGTAGCATATTGACTAAAAGAGATGTTTCTGCAACTGCTACATAATAGAAAAATGAAGGAGGAAATCTATTTGCTTCTAACTCCTACCATTGTTTTTTAGATTAGAACTATAAATGGTATTTTGAAGATTATTTTATGCAGTTCAGTATATTAAGAATTAGTTGTAACTTTTTTCCCCTAAGAAACAAAACATTAACAGAAATACAGATTTCTTTTCTAGTGTTGTATACACTGAATAAAAAATGTACAATGCCCTTGCAGGGGACAGTTTATACTGTAAATTGAGAAGGGGTCCTGAGGCATTGGTAGTGTAAGCCACTGTTTTGATATAACCTAGGGGGGTTTTTTTAAAGGTAGTAGTGATGATGCTGTATTAGTGATAGCCTGATGTTGTAATATTGTGAAATCTGGAGGAGGAGGGTTTGTTTTTTTTCTTGGACTGACTGGCATAGTGGGAAGAACTTTGAGATCTTTAGGTCTTCTTCTGATTCCGAAGTAAAAGCAACAGACTGAAAAGCTACTGGAGAGCCCTTTGTTGGTCTCACTGGCACACACACAGAGCCAACAAGTGCAGTTAGTGGTACCTGTGAGGCAGACAGGTGGTGGTAAGATGAGGCTTTCTTGGCGAGAGACAAAGAGGTGACTTTTAGCCTGTGCTTCTTGGACATACTCATTCAAAGGGAAGAAGATAAAAGTATGAAATTGGTCTCTTACTGATACGTGTGTCTCGTGCCCATAATTTCTTGCCCTTCTTTTACAACCCCCATTTAGGATATAAGGAGGAAGAATTCAGCTGGCCCTCCTACTTAAAGGCATGTAAGGCTCAAGCTGCTCCTAAATCACTGTTTGAAAACCAGAATGCAGTAAGTACTCACTTGTTACTCATGGTGTAGTTGTGACCATGCTCGTGTGTGGTACAGACTCATAGCACATTTCAGTGATGGCAGACTTGAGTCTGAAATTTAAAACAAAAGTGTTTGCAGCAAAATGAATAACATTCTAACATTCTCCACTGCACAGCTAACCTCTGCAGTTCATTACTCTTCTACTTATCTGTTTAAACTTCTGTTGCATTCTTAAATTAAAGATTTGTTATTTGTACTGTGTCTTGCACTGTAATCTTGTGGAACAAAAATGGTCTTTCAGAGAGAGTATCTAAGACAGCTAAAACTAACAAATTTCATTTTAGCAGCATGTTTAGGACTTTTTTGCTTTCATAAACTGCAAGTCTCTGTGCTGAGCATCTCCCATGTCAGCTAATTAGGCTGCTGCCACTCTGTTGGGACAGTTAATTGGGAAATTTGAAAATGGCATGAATATATTGATTGTGAACAATGGGGAGATTTCTGGATTTATAGTATTTATCTTCAGTTAAATGTCTTCCTCTATGTAGACAGTGATTCCATCGGGATTTCGAGTGGGGATGAAGCTGGAAGCTGTAGACAAGAAGAACCCGACTTTCATTTGTGTTGCCACGGTAACAGACATGGTGGACAATCGTTTTCTGGTTCATTTTGACAACTGGGATGAGAGTTATGACTACTGGTATGATGTTTTTGTTTTGTATCCTAGTGAGATGTATCAGAAATGTGTTGGCTTTAAGTGCTGTTTTCTGTGTTACTTTCCAGACTGGTGATACAGTTACCATACCAACTTTTGCTGGATTTTTAAGTATGGACACCAAAGTAGGTCTCAGTGGCAGATTGGAGGAATTAATTTTCCCATGTCAAGTTGCACGTAAAAAATGCTGAGGTTGTGCTAAATGAGTGTTTGTGTGTGCTGCTGCATCTGGAGTTGTGGATTGATGTCAATTACGTATTATCTCTGAGGCTGATCTCTTCAGTGGAGAAGATACACCATGATAATGAGACTAAGTGTACTTGGAGTTAGTTTTACTTGTAACTGTAAATTGGATGAACTGTAGTCATGTTCTATAAAGCATCAGGATAGTGGCAAAACCTGGTTTTAGTCCTCTGTGTTCTGTATTCCAGTAGAAACTGACATCCTCCTATCCTGACCTGTACTGGAGGTGACCTTTCTGCATGTTTTATGGTGGAGGGGCTGTGTGTATCTGTTGGAAAGGCAGTGGATGGAGCAGGATGTACTAGGAGCATAAAGACAGTGAAGGAGATTTAGGCTGTTGCAGTGCAGGTTTGTATTTGCACTTGGATCTTCATTTGATAGATCATTTGGAGCAATGTAGTTTACCTTACATTCTTTGGAGAGTAGGTTACTGCTGAACAGGTAGAGAGCATTGTTATGGATCCCTTTTATGGCCAGGGTTTGGCAGTGGCAAATTAATTGTATAGCTGAGCCTACAAAATAAATGAAGAAAAATTTCTTCATCTGTATTTGATGACTACTTTGCACTCCATCAATGAGAACGTCGCAAAACTATAAAAGTAACTTCAAAACTTTGTGAGTGCATCTCTTGAAATAATTTTGTAGCTAATGTGACAAATAAACTGAAGTAGAACTGAATTATTGAAGCAATAGTGAACAGTTAAGTCAAGAACTGAATATCAAGACAATAGGCCATATGAGTCAAAGACCAGAAAGATCAGCAATTATTTCCACAAAGAAGTAATGCTAACCATACATTTTCTCTACAAAGCATCAGGAAAGTGGGGACTGGGGAAACTTAGTCTGAATATCTTGGTATTTGACTGTTCACTAATAATAGCTATGACATTAATTAATAATTAAAATTGCAGTTAGGCAAAGCTTTTGGGGAAAACACAGTTTTCAACTGTGTTGAAACAATATAACCCATGGTTTGTTCAGAGGTAGCACAGTCATCTTTCTAAAATACTGCAGTCTATATAGCAGACATATACTGAATTTCCGACTAATATTCCAGTGTCAACAGGAACTTTGTCCACCTGTCTTTTCAGAGGAGGGAGAAGCAGTTTTCAAGTGCATAACAAAGCTTTACATTTATAGTATTAGTCAGAGTTATAATATCCTGAAGTGTTTTTTTTTGAATTGTATGTGTAGAATACATGACATAAAACCCTCCTAAAGGATGAAGAAAATTTGAAGGAGAAAGTTTATAGGTTTCTCTATAAACTTAGAGTTTATAGGTTTCTGTAGGTTTTCAGAAATCATTGGAGCTGTGTTTACACTGAGGTCAAGCTTAAGTTTTGTTCTTTTGGTGAAATTGTGAAATACCTTTCTGGAAGCAGCAAGAAGATGCTCCTGGAAGTACTGTACATGGATACTAAATTATCAGTAACGTGGTACCTCTCAGCATTGCATTGAGAATAGTGAGTAGAGAAAGAAAGAAAGAAAATGAGATAAAAGAGTGGCAAATGAAAATAGCAATGGAATGTCTGACCAAAAGAGAGCCTGAAAATGTAACCTGAATGCATCCCACTCACATTTTTAATTTTAGATATCAGGTTTGTAAGGGCCTTAAAATATCTTAGGTGCATACATTTCATGTCTACCAACTGCTGTCTCTAACTAAAAACAAAAAGGTGTTTTGAGATTACCCAGAACTGAACCTCAGTTTCCTTGTGCCTGCATGTAAGTTTCAATCTCTGAATAATAATGAAGGTGAAATTACTTATTTTGTGTATGTTGGTTATTTTCAAACAAGTACCTCTTTCTCTGTATACCTTTTGTGTTTTATTTGGAGTAGACTGAACTTTCTCACTGAGGTTAAAAAAAACCTTTCCTATTTTTGTATATGCAAAAGAGAGTTGACTGATATTACTGACTTCAGGCAACAGAAACGCATTACGATTGCCTAAGGTTTTTTAGGCTCTGGGCTTTCAGCCTGAAGACACTCTTCCTTACTTTCTTTCTGAGCAGGAGAAAATACATTTTTGGTTGAAAGTAAGTACCCTGGTTAGAATTAGTCATTACAGCAGCTCTTTAATGCATGGTCATGCTACTTTCAGTGTATTATAAATCCTATTAAATTTTCCTTTGATAGTGGCTTTCAGATGGAACAAAAATGAACAAAATTGTCAAATTCAAGATTTTATTTAATGAAGGGAAGTTTGACCTATACCGCATAAGCCTCCAGGTCCTTTCCATCTGTTCCATCTCTTTTGATGAAACATAATACTGCTTTGAAAGCTGAAGGCATTCTCGTTCAGTGGAACCTCTCCATTTTCTTACCGTTGTCTGAACCTGGAAATGGAATCAGGAATCTCTTGGTGTGTCAGAACTGTGAATTAACTACAGGTCCATCCTATATTCCTCTGTTCCCTTACATCAGATTTGCTTACACGCAGATCGATGTTGCCTCCTCTTCCTAATTTTTTTGTGACCAAATGGAAACAGCCAGAGCTCATGAATGAGATGAAGCTGTGCCAGCTTGTTGCTGTTTGCCCACAGGAGAAGTGGTGCATTGGCTGTGCTGCACACATTGCATCCCAGACTTGCTGCATCAGAGGGCTCTGGGTGCCCTCACTCATCCTTGGCATGGTCTGAACGTCCCCTGCAGAGAAGGTTGCACAGGCAGATTTTGGGATCAGCTTACCAGGAGTGTGTTGAAATACAATGGCCTGTGTGCTGCTCACTGCTCTGTTCCTGTCTGTCTTGCATAGGAAAATGATTTCTGAAGCCAGCTGTGAAAATAAAATAGCTTTTGATTTTTGGAACCATTTTTTGATCTGTATGACTTATGGAACAGACTGGACTTTGTAATGACTAAGTAAGAGGCCAGCCCTGTTGTCCATCAGTATTTATTACTTTTCTAGCAGCCAAGTCCTTAAAAGTTGCACTCTGCTTGTTTCATCTTTGAGATAATTAACTTTTCTTCACTCTCTCTTTGAAAGGAACCGTGTTTTTGGAAGGGTAATATTACGTCAAAAAGAAGATAAAACAATCTTAAAAGACGCATGAGTCACAGTGCATGCGTTTAACTATTTAAATGGATAATGAACCGTTATCTGACCCTAAGTTTCCTGTGAATCACTGTGCAGCTTTCTTATCAGACTTTAAATAGAAAAAATGATAATGTTTTATGGTAGTGCTATACCACCTCTCGATGCATGTCATAACTTCCTGGATTACATTTTCAGAAGCCCTGACCTAAAATTGTACCAGCTTTATACTCGTCAATGATGAAGTATTCTCAATTATGCACTAGATGGGGCTGCAGGATAGTTTGTATGTTTTTATTTCTTTTTTTTTTTTTTAATCTGTTGATGACTGACATGTCACAATCAAGAACTTGTATAAGTAGCATTCTTGAGAGCACATTGTTATTTATGGTTGTATGGGGCATATGCGTATAAGTGGTTTTTGATAGATAACATTTTCATTACAGACTGTATCTACACTTATTAAAGTGAATATCAGAATATTAAAAGGTTTGTTTCCCATAAAGGAAAATCATAAATAATTTCAAAATAGAAAATTATTATAACACATACACTTATTGTAAAGACAGTGCTGACCATTTAATTGAAAAGTCTGTCCAGAGCATGAGGTGGAGACCTATTTAAGAAAGTATTTTGCTGAAATAATTGAGTATTAACTTTTTCAGCAGCAAGCATTATCATCCATCTCTCTTGATCTAGTTGGGATGAGCTGTATATGTGAAACAGAGTTTTAGGAAAAATTAGCAGGACAGGTGAAAGTGATCAGTAGAAGAATATTAAGTCACCTTCCATGTGTGTCTCCCCCACTGGGATGTGCCCTCCTGCCGTGAGTTAAGGACTGCTGAACCTTACACGTGTTCTTTTCAGGCAAAGTGGTGCACACACTGGGGAATCACCTTGTCAGCTGCCCTCGGTTTTCCTTATTGCAGAACTATTTCCTGTCCATTTGCATCATGTAGCTCTTCCCTGCTTTGTTGTTTTTTTTTTCTGTAGTTAAGATGTCCACAACTCAGCAAGCTGTCGCTTGTTCTGTCCCTCTGTGTGGCTCTCTTACAGATTCAGCTGATGCACTCTGCTGCTTCTGGCTCCACTTCAGCTTTCTGGATTAGCTTCAGTTTCCAGTACGGATGTTAGATTTCTTTTTCTGTCTCCATATTCTCACATAAGAGAAAGAATGGTTCACAAGGGACATGAATTGTGTGGACATTGTAATCTTGTTTTATTAGTCGAGCGTGCATTTGTCACATCTCTACCGCTCAGCAGAAGGTGGTGTTGGTGCTCTGCTGTCGTCCAGGGATAGCTAGGTTTGGAGATGCAAAGTCCTTCAGCTCTTGCTAGTGTTGGTAACCTTTTCTGGCCTAGTAAGCATCCTCACAATTCATGGATCATCGTGTTTTGTGAAGCATGTGAGCTGGATGATCTGCCTTCTGTTTTGGAACAAAGGAAATGGAAAGCTGTGAGATGTGGGAAATTGATTGTGAAAGGTCAGCATAGCCTTTAACATTCCAGTTGACAGCTCTTGAGGCTTAGTCTATTGTTATTCTTCCAAACTAGATACATGTCCATTAAATAACACACATTAAAGCATAATAGTTTTACTTTAAATCGTGTGTGACTTTTACTGATCTCTACTTTCTGTTGTTAAATTAACTGTTAGAAGCTAAAAAGGCTGTGTGAAATCAGTAGATGAAGATGGACTGTGTGATCTGATTTTGCTGGGATCTTTCTTTTTCCCCGAGTCCACTGCAGTTCCACAAGCTGCTCATAGGCTTATCTGTAATGACTGGGTTTTTTCTTTTAAAGCAAATCAAAGTTTGTAGATGTTTCATAGTTCTATTTTGCAATGCTGTTGAATCACAGGTTGCTTTGTGTTCCATGCTCGCTGTAATGTCAGAGCATCTTCCAAGAATATGTCTTTCATTGCAACATTCCTTGGTCATTTGCTTCTTCTTGAATCTTCAAGGCAAGAAGTGTGTGCAGTGGCATTCACTTTTCAGAGTTTTATTAAAATGCATGTTCAGCCTATGCTTGAGAAATCAAACCAAACCAAATGCATTTAGGAGGTTTGTCCTGCTAAGTGTTTTTACACATCTGCTTGATTATTTTAAGTATAATGCTGATAACAACATAGTGATCCTGAGCATGGGACTTGTTCCCAAATTTAACTTGGGAGTGTTTTGAAAATCATTTGTGAACTTTACTTCAAAACATTTTAGGAAGTAAGAAGATATGTCTTTTCAATGCAGAAGTATACTTCATACATGTAAAACTCCCAGTGTGAGAGGGATTGAAGAGAGGAGTGCTGCCCCACGTTCTTGTTAGCTTCTGTTCAGCGTTACTGTAAAGAGAAAGGAAGAGGCCAGAGGAAGCATGAAGAACTCACTGGTTTTTTTCTTATTTTTTGGAGGCAAAGCATTTCTAGGAGTCAGGTGCTGAGTTTTAACAGTGCTAAATTATCACAAAAGGTCTCTTGCTTCCTTTGCTTCCTTTTATTGATGGCAGCTTCAGCGATTTAGAGAGTACCTGGTGTGATACTATAAATATTAAACACGTACAGTAGCTTTTTATATTGTAGAAGGACAAAAAGTTGGTATTTGTGAACTGAGTTAAAATCCTTGGCTATTGTTACAGTCATTACAGAGTCTATCTAATGTAGCTTTTATCTGCTTGGAATATCCGATTAGCATCATTACAAAGAAATACTAGCAGAATTGTTTCATATATATATCCCTAAGATAATGATGTTATTTTGGCCAGTATTTTTCATCATTAGTGCTTCTCTCTGTTTAGGTAGAAGGCTAGAGGAATGCTTGTTGTGAGACCATGTTCTGGAGCATCCAATCTGCAATGCTGTTGTTGAAGATTATCCATACCAAGTTTTAGAGTTTTAGACACCATGTAAAATACTTCTCAGATTTAAAACAAACAAACAAACAAAAAAGTATCTCTGTGTATTTCAATTATGGTGTTCTCCTTAATTTTTCTTTTATGCAGTGAAGGTTGAAAACTGCAATGTGGTATAGCCCAGGGTCTAGTCTACAATTTTTTCTGTGCTGTATTTTCTTTTACAATTCCGAAAGTATGTTTGTGTCCCACATTTGCAGACCTGGTGTTTTGAATCTTAAGACTATGGAGTGCCTGCATAATTTATCTTTAGTTTCTTCTCCTCTCATGCACAGTTCATTACACCCTTTTAGGTATTGCACATTATCAGCATGTGATATTTTAGAAGTATATTAATTAAGGGAACCTAATTAATTTGAACTTCCAGCATGCTAATACTTTCTGGGTAGATACAGATAACGATTATTTTATAACACTCAGAGAGAGCAGCCCACACTGTTCAGTATTTTGCATTAGTAACTCAAGTTGAGATAAAAGTGGAAAAAATACCTGTTATTCTCTAGCCTAATGATGGAGACATTGACTTCAGAGAAGTATTAAACAGAAACTGGATCATGAGTGGTTTGGTGTTTTGCTCAGTGATTATTATATGAAGTATGTGTCTTCATGCATGGTTGCTCTCTGTTTGTCTTCTTTTCTTATTAAGTAGTTAAGAAGTGTTTGGAAAACACAGGAGGGAGACACGGGCCTTGAGTCTAGGCTATTGCTTGGCTGCTTAAGGTTGGTTTCTTATCTCTCCCTGGGGAGCTGGGAATGAAGGCCTTAGCTACTTCAGCTTACTCGGACTTCACTTTTTTGGCCTCGCTGAGTCCTTGGGGTAAGTGGGACACTGAGCTCGTGGCCACTGGAGAGATGGAAATGCTGGTGGGGTTCTCCAGAAGAGAGAGGTGGGGCATAGCTGGAAATATTTAATGTCAGCTACTGAAATAACTTGAGGGATAGGAAATAGTGGAGGAGAGAGGTAGTGCACTGTGATACTGAATTTATTTGACTAAAGAACTTAGGTGGGGTAGGCTCCTAAGAGCAGCGAGGTCCTTAAGGGCAGATCTACATGGGTATTACATGGTTATAATATATGAATTTTTTAGCTAAATAGAGGCAAACAGTGTGTTTGCACAGCACAGCACAGTGCCATGCAGAGTGATGGTGGCCTTTTGTGTCAGCAGCATGTTTCTTAGTCATCCTGGCTACATAAATACAAAAAAGCACTTTCACTTGTTCAGCTGACTAAAAAACCATCAGTAAGTATCAATGCACATGTAGGGATGGTACATGTTTCACAGTAGAGTCTGATAGCTTTTTACTTTTCCTGTAGATCAGTCTTACTACTTGCCTTTACTAATAATGCTGAGTACTAATATAATAATTGCAGTATATACGGTATAGATTATATACACTGTGTTTTATTATGCAAAATGTGATATGTTATGAAATAATATCCTATTATATAATAAGGATATATAGTTCCATACATAATAATTTAATATTACAGAAGACTTAAACAGGTTTTGTCATCTGCTTTTAGATCAGTTTCTTTACAGTGTGTCTCTTTTGTTTGTTTTTGTAAGAGGACTTGATAGCCAGCACTTACTTCTGGTTTCCTCTGTGCACCATGTAACTGACCCAGTGAGCACAGTGAGAGTGGTCTCTCACTGCTTGAGATGCATGCCAGCACATGTAGCTCACCCTGCCTCTGTTAGTCTTCTGTGGCTCTTTTGGCATGCCACAGGCAGCAGCAGTAGTGCAAATTAGGATGCACTTTACAGAAAATATGGGAAGTTGCTAACCCTTTGAATAATAAGAGAGTTTGAACTGTTTTCTAAGAGCAGTTTGCAGTCTTGGATCACTAATTCTTTCATGTAGTTTGTTTGTAAAATGCTTGTAAAATGTTTTGTTGGTTTTTTGATTTTTTTTTTTGTTTTGGTTTGGGTTTTTGGTTTGGTTTTTTTTTTTTTTCAGGGTTTTTCTCAGAGTTACTTTGTTTGTGTGCTGCTGTGTTACAGTAACATGTTTACAGCTCCATTTAAGCCACTCAGAATCCAGTTTTGAATTTTTGCTTGCTATTGGCAGTGCGTTGCAGTTATACATGATTTCTTCTCTGCCTCCAGGTGCAACCTGGACCATTAATCAAGATCTTTTAAGTTTTTTGTTTCAAATTTTAGACTTGGCATTGCAAGATTCCATCCATCTTCAATGGGATTATGGTGTTCTTGCAACTAGCCAACATGATTCTACCAAGAGTGTCTGCTTGTGAATTTTTCAGATCCAGCATCATAGCTTCTCAAAAGAGATCTGCCACTAATTTAAAGGACTTGATTTTCTTGATGCAAAATTGTAAATAAAGCCTTATGCTTGCATAGGTGGTAACAAGTCTCTGTTAGATGTGTTGGTGTCTTCAGGTTATGTTTGCAGTTTAAGTTGAAGATGTTGTGGGTTGTTTGGAATTTAAGTCTCTCTTGTAGGTCTTGGTTTGTAAGCATAATAGGATGTCTGAAGAGCTGCAATTTCAGGCCCTTTTTTTCTCCCCTTCCTCCAGGTGTGAGGCAGCTAGCCCACATATTCATCCTGTTGGATGGTGTAAAGAACATAAAAGAACTCTCATCACCCCACCAGGTTCGTATATTGTTACATGTCTGAAAGATTTAAGGTTGTTATAGTCAGCTAGCATTGGTAAAATTTACAATGAGGACTTAGTATATTGAAAACAGAAGTATAATAAATGTTTGGCATTAAGTATGCAAATATATACTGATTTAGTAAAGAGACATCTACTCAAAAGATATCCCTTGAAATCTGAACAAGTTTGTAATTTTGGCTGAATGGCTGACAAGTACTGTGAGTCTCACAGTCTGAAAATGCTCATAAAGCAAATTCCAGGTGCGTGAGATCATTGCATAAGAGAAACATCTTCATGTGAACTATGTGCAAGGTAATGATTGATGAGAAAATTGTATTAACGTGATCAAAGAATCAGACTTGTAAGGGGTCTTTGAAATGAAGGAAAATGCTATGAGAGAGGTGATAAAGAAGGAAGGAAGTGTATTCATTAGTGTGAAACTTGAGACTGTGTTTCAGGACTGTTGTGTATGGCTGGATGACCTAAATGCCCTGTTGCAGAAACTGGCGTCTGGGGTCTGAGAACATGGAAAGTTTTAATTGGTTAAAACCAACTTTGACAAAAATTCTAATAGCCAGCACTCTTGAAAAGTCATAAGCAGTCTGTTTGCCAGGAGGTTAATTGCAGCCTATTATTCAGTGAATCCCTCGTAAAACAAATTAGAATTGGTTTTGTTCTCTTCTAGCTTATGAATATTAATATTTAAACTTCAAGTTAAACTTGTAAAGTTTACTTCACTTGCAGAGTAAAGTGAAGGACAGGCACTGCCTTTTCTTTAACAGCCAAGCTGTCTTTGTGTTTCTTCCCTAGTGTTTACAAACATGACATTTTCTAGGAAAGGCAACAGCTTCTTTGATGATGTCTGTAGATTATCCATAAATGTCCAGGGTATTTTTTTACAAACTTAGTAAAAAAATGCTCACTAAAAGACTAACAAGTAGTTAGGTGTGCTCAACCACGGTACAAAGCTATCATGATTAGATTGTTTACCAGTGAATGACTGTTCATTACTTGAATTACTTTCCTCAGTTAAGAGGACAGATTTTTCCATTCTACATTATTTATATTGTAAAGGGAATCACAGAATATTCTCATATCCAAAGCAATTGTGTACAATAGCTACTCAGTAGTGTGTATGAGAGGATTGTTGACTCTTTTAACCTGTATGGTGAATTTGTCAGAGACAATCTAGAAGAGCCTTTCTTGCAATGATTTTATAAGTCCAATGTATAAATCAAAACAGTATTATAAAAGTGCTAGGCACTCTGTAAATTAGACATTAACTTCATTTTTTTGCACTGCTGTTTTTAATCTGTGCCAGATTATCCACACGCTAAACATTTTTCTTGGGAGAAGTATTTGGAGGAAACCAGTTCACTACCTGCACCTGCAAGGGCTTTTAAAGTGGTGAGAAAATGCTTAAATTTTTTTCATGCTTTTAAGTTCATGTAATTAATTTGTTTAAGAAGGTAATACATATATGGTGTTCCTATGTTTCTAAATGTATCCAATTAATTAGTTGCATATAGGTGATTTATTTTTATGCAAATTTGGAGTTCACTGTTAGAAATCAGATTATTATAAATAACAATGTATTATTTTAATTATTATAAATGGGATTAAATGCTACAAATCTATTACTAATGAGTGTAATTTGCTATGGAAAATTACTGCCTACTTATTACAAATAATGAGATAGTTACTGAGTCATGATAACACATTTTGAAGATTTGTATTTCTGTTTATTTTATATTATGCAATAGATACAGTGTAAAAATGAATGTAAGAGGTTAGTCTGTTTGTCCATCTAGTCCATTGTCTTGGGCTTGTGTTCAGTGCCCTTTAGCAGACTTTTTCTTCTGCAAGCTTGCAGCTAGGGCATGTGGGCAGCATCCACAGGCAGCTCCCCAGCTTAGTTATGGTGTTTGTGGGCAACATCCTTTTCTTTTATCTTTGTACTTGCTAGTTTCTTTCAGTGATTAATCTTGTAAAGCTCTTAAGATTTCAGTGATGGTCAGTACTGCAGAAAGGAATCACACAATGGCTTGAGCTGGAGGGGACCTTAGATATCATCTGGTTCCAATCCCCCTGCCATGGACAGGGACACCTTCCACTAGACTAGGTTGCTCAGGGAGCTCCATCCAGCCTGGCCTGGAACACTTCAAGGGGTTGGACCTCCACATTTCTAGGCAACCTGTTCAAGTCCTCCATCATCCTCACAGTAAAGTATTATTTCCTAGTATCTAATCTAAACCTATGCTGTTTTAGTATGAAATAATTTTCCCTTGTCCTGTCACTACCTGCCCTTGTAAAAAGGCCCCTCTCCACCTTTCTTGTAGACTCCCTTCAGGTACTGGAAGGTTATAATTAGATCACCCCTAAGCCATCTCTTTCCAAGCTGAACAAACCCAATTCTCTCAGGCTTTCCTCATAGGAGAGGTGCTCCACGCCTCTCTTCATCTTGGATTGCTGTTGGGAGCCAGCATTAGGTGGCCAGTGGCTCCCAGCCCTTGTCTCACAGCACACTGAAGCACGTTTGCCTCAGCTTTTCATATCAGGGACACTAATTCTCAACTTTGCTGAGAGCTGGATTAGCAAAAGGCAAAGTGTGGTGTTTATAGCAGTTCCTGGGGTCAGTAGATTACCAGAGGTTATTCATGACCTGTGATTTATCACCCCAAGGTGTGTCTGTCTTGGTAATGTTTCTCAATCTTACATTCTCAGCCAAATACCCCAAGCAAGGATTAGGAAGTTATTTGTTTATATCTGAGACAGTGACAGTGTTTTGTGTTGTATTATGGGGGAAAATTGAGTTCTTAAGCTGCAGCTGAAGGAAAAACACCAATACTCTGCAAAGTCCTGGAGTGACAGATACATTATTTTCATAAAAAATAGAACAAACTTAATAATTTGTCTTGTGAATATGTTCCTTTAAAATAGAAATAATTTTGCTTTAGTTTTCGTAACTACCAGTGACAAACACAAAATCTGATACTCCTACCAAAGACACTAATTTTATCAAAATAGTATTAAAAACCCAGGCATTTGGTCCTGTTTGTTACTGTTATGCTGAGAATTAGTTATGTTTTCAGTAGGAGACTTAAAAAGGGATTGATTCATGAAGCAAAAATACATATCAGAAAACACAAATATGTTTTCTGTAGACAATTTCATAGACATTTCAGGCAGCTGGTATGTAATGCCTTGTTAAATACTGTAATGAAACTGTTGGCCAAAACCTCTAGGAAATCTTTTCTAGAGAATTTAGGGAAAAAAACTGATTCAAACCAAAGATATCTATTTACATCCTTGGATGGCTTGAATCCAGTCCACTCCAGGAGAACCTGGAATCCCAAAGTAGTTACTTTGTTTCACTATATTGATAACACTAGTTTGAATTATGTTTTTATGCTTGAATTTCTAATAGAGGGGGGGCAGATTTGAAAAAATAAAGGCATGAAGTTTTTGATGGATTATATATATTTTATAGCTGCGTCAAATTTTTAGGTTTTGTTGTTTCACATAGTATTCTTCTTTTCTAGAAACCTTCTCATGGCTTTCAGAAAAATATGAAACTTGAAGTGGTTGACAAGAGAAATCCAGTATTTATCAGAGTAGCAACCATTGTAGATACAGATGACTACAGAATAAAAGTAAGTTTCTCTGTCTTATTGTACTATCCTGCTTAAGTAAATGATGAGGACTTCGTAAAACCAAAATCCTGTAGTTGTAAAATTAACCATGGAAAGAAATAAGTGGTATTGCTCTGTCCTGCTAAGCTTTTGCTCTTGCTTTTCATTGATTGATATATGTATAATTCTTTTGGAATGGATTGTGTTACTGTCCTCTTAGATACTTGTGCTGAGGTGGGTAGTTAGAGAGCACAGCTGAATACATTGGAAAATTGCTTTGGGAATAGTTTATAGAAGACAATTGTCTATTCTATTAAGAAATGTGATTATTTAATATCAAGTGTCAAAGGGCTGCTTTGATATTTGTATTAGGGACCATAAAATATTTGGTCAAGGTAATTTAATCTGTTTTTATGAGTTTCTAAGGGGAATAGAGATAGATGTGAGATATTAAACAGCCCTGATCTTTTGTCCTTTGTCATTGATTTCTGCATTTTTGAAGTTTCTGTTAACTATGGGCTTTGGATTGGATTAAGCTAAGTTAAAGTATTTTAAATGTGTTTTGCAGAAGCTGTGTACTTGAATTAATTCTCTTTTGTTGTATGAAACCAGTTTCCACTCTGAAGACCTTAAGTGTTAGAAGGGCTAACATATACCAAGTATCCAGTTAGAAATGAAGGATGTGTATGTTTGCAGTTTGTAGTGATTTACTAGGCATACCTGTTATTTCAAGTAGGAGATGCAGCTGACATTTCATTTTGAATCATCTGAATTAACTGCTAGTAGGAAGTCATCAGAACTAGCATCTTCACACCTACATTTTCCACTTCAAGTCGGACATGCAAAATAAAAAAAAGAAATGGAACAAAAAAACCCCATCCCAAAATAAAAAAATCCCACTCCCCAGTCTGATGTATTAAATGACAGGATTTGTAACTTCTAGGGCAGTAATTTGACTCTGTTGAAAGAGCTCTGTTTGTGTGTGTCTGTGTGTACATGCATCCACACCTGGGCGTGTGAGAGATCTGAGAAATTTACTGGTACAGCGGTCATGAAAGATTTGAAGATATTTAGCCTTCATGTGAAAAAATGTGCGCATAACCCATTCTGGTGCTGTCCTCTGAAGTCACATGCTTAATTTTCTCTTCAGTTTCAACTCTTTTTCCTGTGTAGTCTGATTTTAGTAAAATTGTTGCTTGTATGATGGGGGGGATTGTTTATCTTTTATAGATAAATTCAATATTTTAGTCCTTTGCTTTACATCTCTGCTGTTCTTAAATCCAATTCAAACAGGAGATTAAAAACATTTGGATTTTTGTGTGTTTTTTGAGACATGAAAAAGGCAGAAATTCATGCTTTAATATAAGTATTAATGTGAGAACTAACGTGAGAACTGCATTGTTTCTGGGATTTGAGCCTGACAACACAGTAAACAACCATATGACATATGGTTTACTTTAGTGAGAGTATGCCTGAGTCCAGAAGGTAATGTACATGTATTTTCTGTGTAACTTAAATAGTTCTCTGAAAGTGACTTCTCTACTAGACATGTCATTTCTAGAGATTACTCAGGTAAAATGATTTTATGGAGAATTTTCCTAATCTAAAACGCACTATTCTCCTTTTTGTATTTTAGGTTCATTTTGATGGCTGGGATAGTATTTATGATTATTGGACTGATGTCGACAGCCCTGATATCCATCCTGCAGGCTGGTGTACGAAAACTGGACACCCTCTTCAGCCCCCACTTAGTAAGGGAAACCACACTGTAATGTAATGATGGTAAAAAGGCATGTGTGCTGTGCTATCTTTTGTCCCTGCCAGTGCCATTCAAAGAAGAGAAGCCACTAGGATATACAAAATAATTGCAAATGTGACATTTAGTGCAAAATCAACAGTCAGTAATTAATCACTTTTTAGTAGATGGTTTTATTGACCTCCTTACTGCAATGGAAATACAAGAACCATAGTCAAAACTAGAAGTGATGTAAAAGATTTGTTGTGTAAAATCCTGGCCCTCTCAAAGCCAGCGCTGAAACTGCTGTGGCACTCAGTAGGGGTGTAGGGTATCACTCTTAAGATCCTTTGTTCACATCTCTCTTGATGGTTACTATGCTTTTTTGGCTCAAAGGAGTCCAGAGTGCACTGAGAAGGCACTGCTTTCAAATGCTGTGGCAAATCCTCAAAAACAACGAACTTCCTTTTCTTCTTCAGCTGAGCAGAGAGGGATTAATGGTGCCCACTTGGAAACTAAATCCAACAGAAGCATGGTACCAATAATAACACTGGATTTACCAGCTTGTCCTCTCTGGGGATTTTGTTTTACTTGTTGAAGAAGTGGGAGAGGTTGCAGGGAGAAGAGACTTTTTGGTAAATATATCCCTGCCTAGTCCACTGTGTTTCTAGGTAATGGCAGTGAAATCACTTTAGCCAAACTTTGAACAGATGAGTTTTTAAGTGAGCGCTCTTCTCTGAGATTGGTTTATGTAGTGACTATGAGGTGTGGTTTGCACAAGTGCTGAGTATTCACAGCTGTTAGAAGGTCAGAAACAGCTGTGCTTGGAAAATAAAAAATGCTGAGCAATGCCAAGTACTCAGAGAAAAAATTAATGTAAAATAACTGAGATAAGTCACACACAGTGTGGATGTGTTACCTGAAAAGCACAATACCTCAATTCAATGTCTCTGAATGCCAAGAAGAAATGATTCCTATCCAGGGTGTGATCAGAGTATATTCATTAGTTTTCTGAGCACTCCAGCAGTACAGTGATGACTGCCTGTTAGGAAGTTAATCATTCTGCCTTCAGACTCTGAATAGAGTGCTGTAAGTGCCAAAGCACAAAGAGAATAATGAGGAGAAGACATAATGCTGCGTATCTGCTTCTTGATCTGAGATGTGCTGTCCTGTGTGCTGAACGAGCAGCCCAGAGGGAAAAGTAGTTTGTGGCCACATATATAAAAATTGTATCACATGGCAGAAGAGCTGAATAAGGTTACTACATTTGTATTATGTAAGACTGATATATAAATAAAATTCTTAGCTTAGGTGAGAGTATAAAATATGTAAATTCATTTTTTTGAGACATTAAAATAAATGAGGTACAGATGCCCAGCACTTTTAACATGTCATCTCCTCTAGGTGGTGGCTTAGGAGGCACTGCTCATCCCTTTTAGGATGTGACTGGTAGAATTAAATTTCTGCTAAGCTACAAAAATGAAGATGGATGATATGACAGGAGAGGAAGTTGACCATCCATTAAATAGGAAAAAAGTAATAATCTACACAAATACTTATAAAATAGAATGATTACTGAATAAAATATTAATCCAACAATATGACTTTGTTTTATTACCATGTAGAATATTTTAAAAATGTTAATATTTCTTCTAAGTAAGTTAAAACACATTTTCAGACTTCTTCAAGGGTTTCATGAGGAAGGAAGAAAATATTTTCCAAGAGTTTCTGCCTCAGTCTGTATGATAGGACTTTCAATGATGAGGTCCAGATCCCTGCCTTTCACATTAGAAGCTTTGTGAATGCTGTGCAATGTTAACAATATTAGTCTAGAGCACTTCCCAGTATTCATATTGTTTTCAGATGTAAAGAATCATTAAGGATTATGACTTTTCTGATAGCAGTTAGGGAATTAAGAGCCAAGTATTGGTGTTGATTTTAACATTGTTTCACAGCGATGTGAACAGCAGCTTCTCATGTAAACATGGACAACCAGTTGTAGCTTTTTTAAATTACATTTTTTAGAGTTCAAAATTTGTAAGTGAAGAGAGAATAGTTATAGGGAGTTAATTTTTTCAAAGTCAGAACACCAGTGAAGGACGACTTCTCTTTACAGAAACATCCCTATTCGGATAAATCCTCCTCTGAGTCCACTTGCTACATTATAAGCATGATATCTGTATAAAGGTAGAGAAGGTAAAATTCCCTGTTCTCTCACTAATTACAGTCATTAAAGGCTATACAAGTCTTTGGACTTCAGTGTAGTGATAGTTTTGTAATTTTTGCATAGCTGGACCATTTGGTAAAAAAGGCTTTTAGACTGCTCTAATTATACATAATAATTCTCTGTCTTTCATTATCCATCTGCGAGCAAGAATCTTTCATCTGGAAAAATATTTAAATAGACCTTTTCATGTCTGTATTGTTATCTGTAGGGGGAGATACAAGTTCATGTGCTGTTCAAGAAGAACTGGTACTAGAAGGGGCCAGTGCATTCTTGCAGAGGCTCTGCAGGTGTTCCCAGTGTCACGTACTGGAGCACGGATGTCTCTCACTTGCTGTGAAACTGTGGGTTATGTATTGTGTTTGCTTGTGCCTCAAATCTCCTTTTGACATCCTTTAATGTCTCTGCAGGCATCATTGCACATTTTGATGAAAATTAGGTAGACACAAATTCAGAGAAGTGAAAAAGTAAAAAAAATCTCTTGATGGCTTGTTCTTTTTAGTAGTATTTTCAGCCTTTGTTTTCACATCTTTTTAACTGGAAAAGTTCAGCTAAAAAAATGTGTAAGGACAGTGCACACTACAAATACATCCCTGTCTTCAGGAACTGGGATAGGGTGCTTACTTTTTCTGTGCTCTTACAAAACAACCAGTTTCCAACTAAATGTAGATAGTAGAAGAGAAATTTGATGTCATGCAGCTCCTCCAAGATTTGTGTTCTTTATATAGACGTAGTTCTGTTGTAGAGACTTACTTGCATGGAATAAAATTATTTCTCCAGTGGATTAGGTTGTTTAAATCTCCATGGTGCTTTTACAGGATGTGTTATTAAAGTATTTCTGTGTACTTATTTCTTCATGCTTGCTACAATGCACTGGTATTTGTGAATATTTAAATATTAGATAATAGCTTTTAAATATAATATTAGCTTTTAAATGTTAGATAATTTTCTTAAATCTCATTTGTAATTCACCTGGCATGCAGGTCCCTTGGAACTGGTGGAAGCTTTAGAGCATGGAGGGTGTCCCACAGCAGGATGTAAGGGAGTTGGACACATTAAAAGAGCAAGACATATCGGCCATCATAGGTATGTTCTGTGAAACTGATTTTATTCTTTCAATTGAGGGATGTGTGCAGATGGTTCTTTTAAATTGTTGTTCGTAAGAAAACAGATCCAAGCTGGAAAAAAATAGGAAATCTTGTAAACCTAAATATGCAGTTATTTCAGTTGCCATGGTGAGCATGCTGAAATAAACATTAGCAATCTGTAACTTCATTTCACCAGGGTGTGCTGAGATAAGATTTGCTGTACATTACTTTTTGTCACAATTGGTAGATTCAGTTACTCTGTATTTTATTCCTTTGGGGATTCCTCAGCTTGCTGTCCAATTTGCAAAATATCACAGACAGATGTGTATAAAGCAATAACTTTGGTACCTTTTGAAATATGAGGTCACTGATTTTATTATGGCTTGGGTGTTCTTGTTCTGCTTGGTTGGTAAGAGTAAGGATTTGCTTGTTGGCTTGGAGCAATGCTAGGAAGGAAATTCTGATTGACATATTCCCGAATGACAACTTGCTTCTTCTATTTGGTGTTTCTAAGGAAGCTTTGTTGGGCACCTTCTGAAGTAAAATTCAGAAATATGGACACCCCATCCTAGAGAGTAGTTGATACTAGCACTGGAGAATGGAATGAAAGGGATAGAGACATAATGACCGAGTAAATAGAAAACATTTCCCAAGTTGAAATTTTAGTATTTTCAAAATATTTACAGTGTGGTGTGAATCCAGACTGTTTCAGTAAGGGATGTACAAGTAATATAGTGTGTTGAGTTGAGAATGAAGCACCATAAATACCATCCTGTTACCTTTTCAGAAATTAGAGCTTCCAAAAGCTGTAATTTTTCCATTACACAGTCATATAATTCTCAAATGTCATATCCATTTGTTCTTTCTGCTCTCTGATATGGTTAGATGACTGCTCTTTGGTTATTTATCTATACATTTTTTAAAGTATTTTTTTCAAACTGCCTTGATCCAAGAGTGAGCTCTGAAATCTTTTCGTGTTTTTGATGAGATCATTATGTGCTGTTGACTCAAGTTATGCTACAAGGTTTTGCTGGTGTATCACCATGTGTTAAGGTCCTGACTAATTCCTATCAAAGATACCTGGCTAGCAAAACTCACTGTATTACTACATTTTGATATGCAAGCGGCATCTTCTGCTGCAAGTTCTTTCCTGTCTGCAGCAGAAGAGTTGTTTGTGCTGTTAGGAACAGAAGAGCTCCTGATGCTAGGACAGGCTTTATCCCCAGGAAAGGACGTAGCTATGATAGCTCCAGTGACAAAACTTGTTGCAGTATGAACTGTGAAGAGGTTGCCATGACACAGTATGCCACACCACTGTCTTTCAGATTATTCTCACCCTATTCCGGTTGTCTTTTTCTGTCTGTGTTATTTTTCTTTTCTTTTTTCTTTTTTTTTTTTCTTCCAGTTTTTCTACCTTCCCTTTTCTACTTTCCCTTTATTTCACTCAACAAGTAGGGTTACTCCTTAAACAGTCAAGTCAGTCCTTAACAATATTGTAACTTTCTGCATTCATAGCATTAGTCCACTGCAAATGTGAACTAAACTAGATTTGCCTAAAAAGCTTCCTGACTGCTTATCTGAAACCCATTTAATTTCATATTCTAGTAGACTTGAGTATTGTATGATTTATTATTGCATCTAGTTTAGGAGGCAATAAATTCTAAATCCTTATCAAGTGCTATCTCAATTACTTAGAATCAGGTGGACATGCCATGGGTTTCGGCCCAAAGCTGAAACTTAAAATGAGAAAAAAAAAGAAAGCAAATTTCTGTGAAAAGTTTTTTATTTATGATCTCTCTTAAAAAATATTGGCAATAAAAGTTCTAATGTTTTAAATGGAAAGGATGAGTAAGAGCTATATGTCTATTTAATTTGTATAGCCTTTGTTTTTATAGCTACCTTTTCCATGCTATTTAAAGGTCGTTATACTTACTCATCCTAAATATTAAGAAAAGAAATAAACTCATGGCATTTCATTGTGCTTCTTTTTTTACTGTAGTCTAAGATTTCCAATTATTTGCACATTAACTGATAGTTCTAGGGTATAAAAATATAACCAAGGAGATTTTGTTGAACATAAGACGCATATTAGCTGTTTCATAGCAAATATATTTTACCAGTAAATATCTTATTCAGTAGCTATTGATTTGCCCTTTGTGATGGTATTCTAGTTTTGTTCTTGAGTATTTCTATGGAAAATAATGAGATTTGTTCTCTTCCGGAGCCTACATATTTGAGGGTCCAGGTTTCCACAAAAATTCTAACATTGTACCACCACTTTTTTCCTGAATTAACCAAGAGATTTTGAAATTTGTACAATTTTCCACATCAGGTAGCATTCCCGTGGCTCTTTTATCTTTGGAATCCTGAAATGTATTTAACCGTGCTTATCTTGTTTTTTGTGATGAGGTGCAGCACACAAATGCCTGTGTGCAGAAAAGATGATTATTTAAAATGCTAAGTAGTTCTGAAATAATTTTGAGAGCTTGTTCCTTAGGAATCACATGAAAGCCTTGGTGATTAATTATATAGCAGTGCTAAAGCATTTACTTTTTGGAAAAGTTGATGTGACTAAGGACTTGGTATCTATCAACAGTTAATCTAGGGTTATGTGTGGTGCAGCTGAAACAGCCTGACATACAGATTGTTAGCATTATGCAGATCACCTGCATATTTATGCTTGTGAATTGTGTACCCTGATGTTTAATGCATGCAGTAATTCTCAAGTTCAAGCAGGAGCACGAAGAGGTCAGTTGTAAGTGTAGTTCATTAGATTTTTTGAGTCAGTTCTTCATGAGTCAGTTCTTCATGAGTAAAGATTTTTGCCTGAAACTTCAAACTTCCCATGCGTTATGTGTAAGTTGAAGTGAACTGAAGTGCTGTGGTATGGGCTGTGTTGTAAGAGAGCACGTGTTGTATAAACGTGGAAACCTCAGGTCCGCAGGAGGTCACATCTTTTTGTTCAGTGGTTTTTGATGGCAGTCTCAAGGTCATTGGCACCTGCCAAATCTGTTCAAAAGCACTCTTCATTTCTTGATTCGCCTTTAAACTGTTGAAGCAGCTTTCTCCTGAAAAATGAATGCTTTGATGATAAACATGCACTGTAATTTGTGAAAGACAATAGTTGCATTGATTGTTTTGAGACTAGTTAAAAATGTTTTCATAAAGTCTGAAGTAAAGAGATCACTTAACAAAATCCATCAGCAAAAAAAAAAAAAGAACACATCCCTCAGATGCTGTCGGGATCTTTTCTCTGAAGGTTTCTTGCTAATCTTGTATTGCTACCAGCTGATGTGATCACCTGGACACAGGCTGATCTAGACAGTCTAATCCATCCATTAGTCCAGTCTGGAGCTCTCATACAGCTTCATCCCTTGGCAGTGCTCAGCAGTAGCTTGCACCTGAAAGGCACTGAGGAGCTGGTGTTGGTGACATTTCCAACCAGCACAGCTGAACCAGGGGACCTGTCTGTGGCTTAATACAGGTTTGCAAAATATTCCAAGTGTTCAAAAGGACTAATAATCTGGATTTAATGGTACTTCATACGCAAGTTCTTAGACCTAAGAGAATGCTGCCTTACTCTTCTTCAGTTTAAGAGAGTGTTCCCTTCTGATATTAGGTGTAGCTGAAAGTATTGTGTCTGGACTCTGTGCTTCAGAAAATTTGTATACTGCTACGAGATAGGAACATCTTCAAATGTCTGGAGTAGATTAAGGTCTATGCCTATCAGCAGCCCAGTTTTATCCTCCTACCCTTGAACTTTACAGAAAAGAGATAGGTATGTAACTGCACCTAGAGATAGATCTTGAGTGTGACAGAAGAGCAGTTGCAAATAAACACAGGTGGGGTATGCTACTCAGCACTTCTGTTCCATCAGACAGTTCTGGAAAGGGCTAGTAGTGTAAAACCTCTATTGACTTGAAAATCCCATGCCTGTGATCAGAATGGTGCCTTTTTCTCTCTTCATCTTTCATGATTCAGAAACTTATTTTAATTCTCAGTTTTTACTCAGCATATGCAGGACTCTGGAAACAGTGGCTCCCTTTCCTCGGAAAACCGTGTCATGGACACACATATTGCCAGCAAGTCAGCTGCCCTGCAGACAGCTAATTATTGTGCTGTGCTGATCCTTCAGCATTTGGAGACGGCTGATAGCTCTCGTGTGTGGGGGTGTGTGTGTGTGTCAGGTGTTATTAATCTGAATGTTTGTTTACTGAGGCAGCTCCAATGATAATTGAGATCTTCATGTTGGACTCCGTCCAAAGCTCTGGGGCAGTGCTGGGGGCTCTACAGCCCTGTCAGAAGAATAGCAGAGGTTTTAACATTGAGTACCTACTGCTGCTTTTGCTTCCTGCCATTCTTCCTGAGCCTCTGGCAGACCTGGGTATCCTCAAACCAAGGACATCTGATCATTTTGGAAACTAACTTCTGAACCTGTGCTGTTTTCAAACTGGTGTGCTAAAGCACCATGTAAGCTGGAGCAGAAATCCAGGTTTAAGGTGACGGAAGAGTTAAAAATCCTTATTTAATATTAAATAACCTAAACACCAAGACTTCTGAGCCCTTGAGATGAGTTGTGTTAAAAACTTACAGTCCTATATAAATTGAATACTTCTGTTATGTAGGAATAACAAGATTAATTTTTTTCATTCTTTGTAGTAGACAAGTTAAACTGAACTGAAGGTGGAAGGCATTGAGGTTCAGGAGGATTTACTGATTGAACCAAAGCCATACACAGGTTCATTCATGCTGTGTTTCGTTGTAACATAGCTAACAGTGGAAACCACATGGGTTCTTTTTGTTGCCTCTAGTAACAGTAACATCAAAGGACTATCAAGGAGTTTTTTAAAAATTGCTCAGCAACTTGAATGATTAATTACAGAGAAAAAGTCATCTGAATCTAGTGTTCCAAAGCATTGTTAATATTATAACTATTGTTGACTGAAACTGTCATTCAACTGCAGTTTTTCCAGAAAATACTAAAGGGAAAGGTGGTATATAAGCAGGCAAGTTATAATAAAGGACTGAATTTTTAGGGTTTTTCTTAGGGTATTTTGTTTGTTTTTTTTTTTTTTTATTTAAAACTTAATAGTGGTGTTGGTAAACAGAAAACCTGCTGGAGTCTGACAATTATATTGTCAGATTTCATTGGGAGCATAAAGCTTGCTTAATAAAACACAACTGAAGTTAAATACCACATTGGTAGTGTTCAGTGTTTCCTTGTGACAGCCCTTTAACTGCTCAGAAACATTGCTCAAAACACCTCTGTGAGCCTAGGAAGCTGAAAGAAAATTACATGCTTTGCCCTGTAGCAGAGGCAGAACTGAGATTAACCAATATATTCATGAATTTCTGAAAACTGTATTTCATCACAGTGGTATGTGTTTGTCACAGCAAGAACTTAAATCACACTAGCAGTGGTCCCTTAAAACCTTTTTCTGAGCAGAAGCCTGTATCTTTTATCTTGTATTTCTTTTGAAAGAGAAAAAAGACATCATTGTGATAGATGCAGCAGCATAAGTCATCTGGCAGAGGGTAGTCCTAAGACACACAAAACCAGTAGGTTGAGAATAAATGTAAACATATATAAATAGATTTTAAATAAAATACCCCATTCTGCTTAAGAGGAAGTAGAACTAAAAGGTGAATGTTCCAAGTTAATTTCTATTTGTATATTTTCTTCCATGTCTCTAAAAAATTTCATTAACAAAAGCATACCATCCTTGAAGTTTAGTGTTTTATAGCCAGTTGGACTCTATCTGATTTGGATGTGTAAACAAAAAGTTTAAGAAAGCAAAAAGATTACTCTTCTGTGCTTCATTGCATCGCCTGGGGATATAGCTGCATGTCCCTTTACAGCACTCTACAGGCTGTAACATCTGCTTGGAGTAGCCTTTAACAGGGATGCCATCTTGATTAGAAAAGCCAAAGCTATTCTATTTTTTTTTCTTTCATAATTCAAGTTCAGCATAGCCACTCAAGTATTTAATAATAATAATAATATAATATTTAAAAAACCAAGTTGATACTGTCTTATTTTCAAATGAGCCAATTGAAGAAATCAAACATACTGTTGATATCCTGTCGAGATAAGCCCAGCAAGGGCTGACTGACTTGGCCTTAAGGAATTTTCTCCTTTTATGCAAGTGCTGATAAAAATGTAAATTTCCACCAACTTTTTGTTTATCTTGGTGATAGCAAAATTAGATTACCAATATTTGTCCAACCCCATTATAGGAGTTGTTACATACTCATTCTGAACCCAGAGCTTTGTTGGTAAGGGAAGAGGAGAGTGTACAGCATATTTTAAATTAAAAGGCCTTTTTATTTTTTAATGCTGTGCTTTCTAGGAAGAAAACTGTAGTGAAAGCTGTTGTTTTTCTATTAATTTTTGAAATTTGGAGGTGGCAAGGCATGTGGCTGTCAAGGTAGAGTTGTTTATATTAGACAGTTCTCTTTGGAAATCATGCATGTAACTATCAGTGAAACAAATGAAATATTGCAATGATTTATGGAAAGATGGGTAGTTACAGTCTTTCTTGAAAAGAAAATAAGCAAAATTGTAGAACATAGGGTTTTTACCTTTTAAAATTATGGAAGTCATTGTAACAGTACAGGTGAGTAGGAAAGCATAATTTCAAAATATAGTTAATGTCATAGCTCATGAGCCACAAATGGAGGATCATATTTAGTACAGTCTGTCCTGTATCTTATATAATTTTAAAAACTTGAGTGTGATGCTATTCACTGTTGTAACATGTATATACTGTTCAGAGTATAGGATATTATAATTGATGTATTGAGTATGTGGTCTGGCTGACTAATCAGTTAAACACTGCAGAACATTCTGCTAAAGCAAGATCCTAGTTCAGCCTCCTGTGTTTTGGTTTGTGTTGCTGTTTTTCCCTTTCCTACTTCTTGTGCAAACCCAGGTTTTCTGACTTTGGTACAATTTCCACATTTCTTAGAGCAGTATTTAAAAGTCGTTGTGTCAGTGTTCATTGTCAAATTATTTCCCTAGCTGGAGTGTGGGGAAATAGGGAGTATTGAATGTTAAGAAAGACTGTAAAAATATGTCTCTTAAAGGAGTATCACAAAATGGCATTTGCAAAGATGGGGCACTCACTGCAGTAAGGGGATGTGCTCCAATCCTCATGCTTTGCCCTTGAAATGCAGCTTCTGTGTAGACATTACATAATAGAAATATCCTCCTTCGCATAAATAAATAACCATGGTAATATGACTTTATTTGGAGAGACATGGATATAGTCAAAGGCATCCTGTGTTGTATGTATAAATACCATTACAATTATGAGGGAGAAGGCTAAACATTTATCAAGCAATTTTCCACAATGAATGTTGTAATAGAAAATAATACAGTTTGTGTTACACAAGTTGCTGTGAAAAGGAAATGCGAAATTGAGGTTTTTATTCGATGGATTTATTAACATTGTAAGTACTACTACTTACTGCATTTTTAAAAATCTTCTTTATTTTAAGTTAATGCATCTACTTCCAGGAAATTCCAATGTCCTTTTGTTTGAAATCAGTAAAGTGTTTGAGAATAAAGAGTAATTGTTGTTCTTCAACTTCTAGTGCAGTCAGCTGTCCATATTCAGAGATGAACTTGAACAAAGAAAGCCTCTTGCCTGACCGATTGAGTGGGGAGATGCCTGCAGCCAGTCCTATCCCCAGAAACAGAAAAGTGGAAACAAATGAAAGATCCACCTCTCCTGTAATCAAGTAATTATGATTGAAACTATGTCTGTGACTACCAGCAGTATTTTATTTCTATGTTCTCCAGTGCAATTTACAATGTGCAATGACTGAATGGTTTCAGAAAGGCCTGCCTATTTATCTACATTTTCATTTACAGGGAAGAAAAATGTTTTTTTCAGTGCTTATCAAAAAGGTCATAGAGCTGTGAAAGACCGATACTGATTTTACTGCCTATGGTTTAACAAGAGTTTGGTTTCATCTTCAGTGTAACTATCTAGACTACTAAGTGGTTAATTGGAATTTAAAATTGAATGTTGACCAGTTGGTTTCCCTTTAGAAAATTATTCTTTGTGTTCCTTTTGTTTGCTGTAGTGGCGTTATTGATGTGACTGTAAATTAATGTAGCTCTTTGAAGAACAGCCAGTATTATGTCTTTACAGTGGGAGTGGGGAATCAAATTACTGGGACTGAGTTTTGCAAGAATAGTGCTGAAGTCTGTAGCTGAAGCTTTTAAATAGGAGCACTGGGAAAAAACAAAGGAGCATGATACCAAGATGATTATTTTCAGATTATTATTTTATCTCAGAAATTGTGGATACTCATTCCTGTGCTTATCTTGGACTGTAGGGAAAAATAGATAATTTAAGAAAAAAAGGAAAGGAAGAGAGGCTTTCCCTTCTTTTCATGGCTAACATTAATGTAAATGTGAAAGTGTGAATGATGTGAAATGTGAAAATGTGAAAATTTCCAGTTCTCACTGTAATGACCACATATTTTCAATAGCTGGTATTTTAAATTGCCTTCTCAGAGACAGTTTCAGCTTCATGCTTCAAAACCCAAAATGTTCTGCTGTCTAAGAGTTCTGCCTGATTTGATTGCTATAAATGTAGGGTTTTAGAAATCTGAAGTGACTTAATTACTCCCTGGCAGGTAGCCTGCTTGCCATTACAGTGAATCCACTAGCAATTTGAGCAAAGTCCTCGGTGGCAGGGACTGTGTCAAGTGCTACTTTTTTCATTGTCCCAGTTAAGAGGCTGCATAGAACACTGTGAAGGCTGCACAGTGATATGTTATGGGAGAGAAGGGATAGGAGAAAAATAATACCTCAAAGTGTTTCTTGTGTAGCAAATATTTGAAGAGGATAGCTTATTATAAAAAGTAATATTAGACAAATTCTGTTCCTGTTGAATTGTCTAATCATTTTACTATTGACTTAATGGAGAAGAGAGTTCTTTATTTTGATTTCTGAAAATGCCAGGTATACATTTTTTTAGTGGCAAGTAAAAAAACTTCTCTATATTTCTTAACCAAAAAACCACCTTGGATGTTTTCAGTTGACTTTTTGTGCATAGAGAAAATAAATTAAACAACAGCTTTGCTGCTTCCACTTCTAAACATTTTGTTCATTTGTTTTAAACAGTGACAGAAAATGCCCCAGCCCTGGTCATGTAGGTATGAAATCTTCACCTCACAATCGACCATCAGGGAAAACTGTACCAGAAACAACCAAGCTGGATGATGCAGAAAATAAATCTCCTTGCAAGAAGCCCCTGTTATGCAACGTGAAAGAAAAGAAGGCACCTGGGTAACTCTCAGTTCCTTTCAAAGTAATGAGTGTTTGGAGTCAGTTCAAAAAGCAACTTACCAGGCAAAGCAGTCCAGTGATTTGTCTGAGGAATTCTTAGAAGCTGTGGGAAAGGAGATGAATGCTCTTCAGCTCTTTTTATCTTAGAAATAGAGGGGAAGGGAGTATCACAAGGTATATAAGAAATACATGTCAAAGGAGAGGAAAAATAAAATACAGTTATTGGAAATTGAGATTCTTCTTCCTAGGTTTGTGTCCAAATTATTTTATATATACAAATATCTATAAATTAAAAGTAATTCTTTAACTTTCAGCATCTGGCATGCATTTTTGACAGAAAATGACACGAGAACTTTTTTATACCACAAATATTATTCCCCAGTGCAAGTTTGGAAAGTATCTTTGAAGCTAAAAGTACACAATTCAGTGTTTTCATGGGGATATGTGAGGCAATAGGATTCCCTAAATTTTTAATTAGTTACAGTATCGCTACATTATATTATTGACTATTTTCAAACAGAAATAGATGACACCCTGCAAGATGATATGTCATTTGTTATATATTTACATGAGCTGCATTATTTTGTGTTCATAATATATGAACTGTGTTAGCAATAGTACTGTCTTGAGAGGCAGAGAGAGGAGAGTTGGTATTTTATGGGAAATCACCCACAGTAAAGCCGACGATTGAAATGGAACTGTTTTGTTAAGAGTTGGACTTTGATAATCTTTATTGGGTCCCTTCCAACTCAGGATAATAAACAGCATTCACTAGTCATACTTTAGTGAATTTAAACAGAAAAGAAAAGAAGATGGCTTCAAGTGTAATTTAGAAATAACCTGTGTTAAAAAATAGTTGTAATTCATCATTTTTGTCATACTTACAGTAAATTAAAATTTTTCTTTAGAAATATACTTTGGCTTTACAGACTACCTCTTAAGATTAATTGAAGAAAAAAAAATTTCATATTTTATTTTTTTGGAGGGTGTTACCTTTAGAAGACTTAAGATAAACAATACTTGTGCTATCTGTTCACTGTGTTGAATCAGTTTCATTAAGAGAATAAGTCTTGTGCCAGCTTTGAACTACCCAGAGACTTTGCAGCTTGTATTTCAACTGTTAGACGACACTGATGACTGGCTGCATTTTATCATCTAGCTTTCCTCATTCATTATGTATCCAGCAAAGTCATGGAGGACTTTCAGTTGAATAATCTCCCTTTGAAAAAGGCATGAAAAATAATGTTCACAACATTAGGTATATATGAGCTGCTGGGGTTATAAAATATTGAGCATCTGCTTATTGCAATACCCAGTGGATCTTTTTAGATGTGTATTCAAAGTACACATGCATAATTGAAGACATAGATACACACTTGTGTGCTCTTTAGTTGCTGAGCTCATACTGTGGATTTAATTATGTTTGACTGCAGTTCAATTGTGTATACCTTTGTATTCAAAGGTAATCTTTTGTTTCATAGAAGTCTTTCGTTGAGGAACCAACCACAAATGATCCCAAACATGAGTTTTATTTTGTCATGTTAAATCTAAGTGGTACTCAGCTAATCTCTAGTTCCCCTTACTCCTTTTCCTTTCTCTCTCTCTCTCTCTCTCGTTTTTTTTGTTTTGTTTTGTTTTGGTTTGGTGTTTTTTTTGGGTTTTTTTTTTTTTTTTTGATGCTCTCTATGCATCAAACAACTATGCTAGAAAATTTTGGTTTGCAAGAATATAATTATGTTCATAAATACTGCAGTGTGTCCCTCTGGAATGTTCCTGACACTAAAAGTCATGATAAAAATTACATACCTACAGCATATTGAATTTTAAAGTATCTTCAGAGTAGCAAAAGAATTTCACTGTAATAAAAATTCTCTTCTTGAAATCTTTACATGAAGGAAGCTGAACACTCAGACTTGGGAATCAAATTATACTGGCTCTTAAAAAAAATTCTATTTGTCTTCCAGCCTCTTAACCAAAACCTTCAATTCATGATATAGTCGTGATACGGTCGTATTTAACTAACGAGGTCAAATTTCTGTATGTATGCTGCTATGAAAATTGCTCTCAAGAAAATAGGGAGTACTTGTTTCCTCACAGGATTTGGTGATCTCTCTTCCTTAGCTGAATTACAGCTGTCATTTCCTTAGCCTTTGGAATTAATTGCACTAGTTATTTTAGCATGTTACTTTAGAAAGTTTTCTGTGTTTGTGGAGTTTGGAAAATAAGTTTTAAGTGAATAAATCTTTCTGAGGAAGATACTGTGGAGAAGTCCATTGTGGCAGAAGGAGCTGTGCATGCTGTATGCATTCCACTGGTATTGGTTGTCATACTATTATTTGTGTCCTGTCATACTAAAAAGGCTGGATTTCCTGATCTGCAGTGTTCATTTTGCACCATTACTAGTGTGATAATTATATTTCTGTTGAAGTCAGTGAACCTGAAGCTCCTACTTGATTTAGTCACAAATGTTTTCTTGTATATAATATATAAATGGTATTTAATGGTATAAAAGTAAACAGTGGAATTAAATAGGTCTGTTTCTTCTGTGGATTTGTGTTTTGAGGTTAGCTAATCTTGATGCCTAACAAAGTGTTAGGTGTGCATCTGCTTTTCATCTGTGATGTTGACATTTGTTAAGGTGTTCTTGTTGATTCCTTTTGTGGTAGATGGTAAAGCATCAGTTCATATGGTAGTGGGATTTCTTGTAGCTTTCACTCCAAGAATCATTCTGGTGCCTATTTTTAGAAAATGCTCATTATGTGCTTGGTATCTCCGAGTGCTCTGAGTATCTGTGGTGGTTCAGTAAGAATTGGCCAAAGTGTTCTGAAATTCTTAAAAAGCAGAAGTAAGTAGACATGTAATGTCATCAAATCCATGTCACTTCACATTTGTAAGAAACCAGGAAGTACCAGGAAATACCTCTGGAAATACCTTCTGAAGGCAGAGTTTGAAAAGGAACTTCCCAAGGGCTGACAGGAATTCACACACCCCACACATCCCCATCTTGAGAAATTCTCTTTATTTCCACATCTCTTGCCCAGTTTTTCTCAACAGGGGGAAGACATTCCCTCTCTGCAAATTTTTGGGCTGGCAAAGCTTAGGGAGCAGCTGGATAAGAAGTAATGCAAAAGCAGAAGCAAAAGAATATAGATATTTTCGATGATATTTTCAGTGGGATCATTAGCAGCTGCACTGCAGGGTGTCAGTAACTGTACTGACAAGGAATTGATGCCCTGTAGAGATGAACGTTGGGCAGAGGAAAAGGAGTAAGTGTTATTTCAGACAGCTCCTGAAAATGGCCTGCATAACCAGCCAGGCTTTGTAGGACATGCAGCTGTATATGTGGGTTTCACTCTTCCCACCTTATGATGTGGACACATCCACTGCCTCCCTTTGTGTATTTTTCAGTTTCAGTTATCAAGTCAGGTGTATTGGTATGGTTTACATAATCTTAGTTTACACCGTTCTTGAGCCTTCTTTGCAAAATTCATGTCAGTCATGCCATTCTGTGTAAGTCAGAAATAAGATCCTCTCTTTCTTTATTTTATAATGATACAGCATCATTTGTGTGGGAATCCTGGTGTGTCAGTAGTATTGCTAGCAAGAGATTTTATCATGCTTAGTGATTTTTATGATGTGTTAATAAAAATTGAACATCTTCTTTTCCTCAGTGGAGTACTACAAACAAAGGATGCCATAAAGCACAAAGAGTGTGAAGATGAGGAGACAGAAAATAAGCTGCTCATTTCAAACGAAATCAAAGGTAAATTGGCAGTTCTTAATTTGTTTCAAATTAAAATCTGCAGAAGTGAAGAAGTGTGATGTCCCTTGAAATTTTCATGAAACTGTATTGCAAATTCTTTTCCACATTCACTGTCTGCGTCCAAAAATTTTGTGACAGCAACACTTTCAGCACTATGTCCTGGTTTGGGGCAAATTTGGAAGGAACTTCCAAAGGGATGTTCCTTAAAGGGAAAAATTCAGCAGCCATTCCCCCTACCTGTTCAGGAGAGTATCTTGTAACCATCAAAGGCTTTTCCAAGAACTTTATCACAGTTGTAAGGATGAGTGCAAAATGAATAGCAATATAAAAAAAAATCTCATTTCAATGATGTTTATCCCCTGACTTTTCAAAATAGTTTATTAAACCAGTCTGAATCGTAAATTCACTTATTGCCTTGAAAATGTATTGAAAGTTAAAGCACTTAACACATTACAGATATAAAGCAAAATTAAGATGATTTACTTAACCCAGCCTCCGTCTTGTTGAGGGTGATGGACAGACTGTGGGTCCTCATTGGTGAGACAGGAAAGTTCTCATATGGTCTCTAAAGATTTTTTCCAATATGGACTTTTCTTCTGTTCAGTGATTCTGAGTGGTTGTATGTACAGCTGTAGCAAAACTCTTGGCTGTTCACAGATCCACTTGGACAGATTGAAGCAGCTGTTCATTAATAATTTTTATCCTCGTTGTTTAGAAAGAATACAGCACAAATCCAGATTATCAGAGTCTTATATTTGCTAATTTTTTCACATGGGAATCCTAGTATCTGGCTTGTTATTAGACTGAATCTGTGCATTGTTTCAGTGCAGCCTTGCTGCAATAGTTTTATTAACTGATACAAGGTCAATGCAAGTTAAGTGTCTTAATTGCCTAATCTTAATTCCTTGTATTTTTAGATTATTTTCTTCAGAAATTTTTTTGTACAACAACAGTTTGTAAGACTTTCATCAAAATTAAGTGATTGACTTGACTAACTGTTTCTTTAAGAGCTACATGTCTTGCCTTTTAAGTGAGCTCATCTCTGTAAAATGCAGGGACTTCTTTGAGAGTGGTAGAGCTTTCATAAAGATAAAATTAAGGTAGTGGTTTATTTTTAAATATTAACCTGATGCATTTCTTTTAATCTTAAGACATTGTTTATCTGCCAGTACTTTTCAGATAGATCTGAGGCACTCTGGTGAGTGTGTAAAATTTGAGAGATCCCATCTATTGTGGGAGCTGTGAAAAAGCCATGTTAGTGTTTTGAAACATGTAGTTCAGATTTCTAGAGAAAATGAAGCATTAAAAGAAGCAAGTCTCTAAAGAAAATATGAGAGACTTTTTTGTAATTTTAGCTATTTTGTTTTAGCAGGAAGGAAATATGCAGCTTTGATGTTAACCTTTGCATGATTTGACACAAAAAATTTCAAGTACCTGGGAGCATTTTAAATTGTCTGGTATTGTTCTTTTAAATCTAAGAAAACTGGCCTGATTTTGTGAAGCATTTTGAGTTTGACAAAATTGACTGGTTTTCACCAACAACCTCTGCTTGCTACGTTCTTGAATAGTTAGATTTAGGAATATAGAACATTTTCTTACATTGTTGTCTGGAAAAGTTGTCCTTTTTAAACACATAATGTTATGTTATTATGTTTAAGTAGGATGTAAGATGAAAATGGATCATTAAGTTCTTGCTGTCATAGCCATGGAAATCTCAAGATAAAATAATTGTGAATTTATGAGCTGTCACTGTGCTTGTTGCCCTGGTTTTTTGGCATGTCACTTACCTTGTTATTCTTCAGCCTACTTTTGCCATACTTGACCAGTTCCCAACTGGTAACTTTATAAAATGTGTACTACTGTCTTTCCTTTGTTTGGAGAAAGATTATTTGGAGCTAAAGAACTCCACTGAAATCACTGCCCCTTCATACTAACTTTTTTTACGGGCGTAAATCTTGTGCTTAAAAACCTTATATATGCTACAAGCTAGACCCATGCAGGAGGCCATGAGCAGTTTTAAAAGTATCTGCCACTTACCTTCTTTGAAATATAAGTTTATATTTTGTTCTGTGGTAACTCACTAAGAAGATAGAGATGAACTATTAGAGGGAAGGATAACAAGGTGGCATAAAGTAAGAAGAACAATGTAAAGGCAGGTGGGCTGATGCTGAAGCAAAATGTCTCCAGATAAGACATGGTTTAGGTTTAGAAGTGTGAACTTTGTGCATCTGGCTGCTATCTTGTGGAGCTGGCAAGCAGATTTTGTTTCTTCACTTGAGTGGTTGAAGAACCTGTTTGTGGCTATGTGATGGCAAACCTCTGGTGCACCTCAAGTTACTCTTCTCCTAAATGTCCCAGCTGAGACATAACTCGGAATGTATCTCATATTTTCTATGGCCCAGAAAGACAGATTGTCTCTCTATGGGAAGCAGGGCATGCAGAGTGAGAAATACTCCAGAGCATTCCCTACTCCAGAGGGTAGGGAAAAATTTTAACTGTCTGGCTTTAGAGATATAGACTGTAGCCAAAATGGTGTGTTCTGGACTTCCTTTTACAAGGTTACCCACACTAAATCTAAATTTCCCTTTTTTTGATGTTGTGGTTATATCTGCCACAGGGCTAGGGACTTTTATTTTTAATTTTTTCCATCTAGTTGAGTAAATTGGCACTTTGCATGGTCCATTTGTGCTCTTTGCCTTACCTGTGAGGCAGATACCACACAGACTGAGAATGCTGCTCACTATGCCTGTACCTATGTGCTGTTGTGTGCATTCATATATTTAAATGCATGAATACAGGGTGTGATTTGTGTGATATTTTCATCACATGGCATTATAGTCTGCTATTTATGTGGCACTATCAATATATTGCATGTTTTGTGAATGAAAGGAAAAAATAGCTGAACACTCAACATTTCCAAATCTTAAGAGACCTTGTCTAGAAGGAAAAGATCAGAGGGAAAGGATGGGGAGGGGATTCGAGGAAACAATTAGAAAGATACTGTTCAGTCAAATATGCTTTACATTCAGCAGAGTTGCTACCTTTCGTATTCCTTTCTCACTGAGATTTTTATTAGTATAGAGGCTCTAAGGAGCATTTGTAAAACAACAGTGAAGTGTGAAAAGACATTTAGGGAACTCTCTTTGAAGAATGAGAGTGCAATAAGTAGTAAAATATTAAGGAGTCTATTTTAAAAAAATGAATGAGTGGGTTGACAGTGCTGACTAAATGGCTTAAGAGTCCACTTCAGAATAATAGGCATTAATATGGAATGAGGACAGATCTTGAAAGCAACAAAAAATTAGGCTAGAGGAGCAGAACAACACAAGCAAATGTAATAACGTCCTATGTTAGGTGTATTATAGATCAGCCCCACTGTGCTGGCAAAAATCCATAATGGGAATTTGTGCCCTAGTTGTTGGGTGCAAATGTGTGAAAACTAGAACAGTAAGGATTGGGAGAACTTGTGGTTAATAGCAACTTCGCAAAAATGAAAGTAGAACAGAACTGCAACAGAAATGAGCAATCCAAACAAAAATAGCATAGGGATTTGTGAGTAACTGCATGAACCATGTCATTAAGGAATATTAGGCATTAAGAGAATAAGGAATAAGGAATAAGAGAATTAAGGAATAAGGAATATTCGGCATTGTTGACTGTTCCTTAAGAAGTGAATTTCAGAGATTTTCCACAATTAGAGTGGGCAATTGGGAAGCACTTGGGCCTGAGTTCAGAGGGCAGGCATGTTGCTTTTGCATTGCCAGTGGATCTAAATGAACAGAGATGTCATATGCAGTTTGACATCATTCGAGGTATGACTCTTCACTTTTTCCTGCTGCACACATCTGCAGCTGCTGCTTTTCTCTAGACAACAGCAGCATTTGTCTGAAGGCAGCCTCCCACCAGTACATTACCTTTGGGGACAGTGGGATGGGAGATCATTCCTTCCTTATGGATGAGTGAAATAAAATGCAGCACGGAGGAGTTTAATGTTATTTTCCAAACAAAACATTCAATTAAAGTAAAAGCAGAGAATTTGCAGACATTTGCAATTTTTCCTCAGAAGAACTGAAAAACATTTTTGTTGTGGATGAGCCATAAATGTTGTGTGGGCTGGAACAGCATAACTGATTCACTTGGAATTTTGTAGCAGTGCAGTGCTGCTTTTGATTTTCTAACAGCTCAACCCGAAAATTAAGTTAATTCTTGTATTGCAATACTACTATTAAATGTGAGTGTGATTTATTGTACCAAAATACTTAAAATTGTTTGACCTGTGGTGTGTTATGCTAACAGCTGTGATGGCATGGAATTGTGTTGAAAGAGACTTCTTCCCTGTAGGAGTGGTTGTATTTATAGAGCCAATATCATGATAGTCATACTAGTGGAAGAACAGTCATGGCACTTCCAATTCTGGTATGGCATTCATGGCATTTTACTATTCAAGCAAAACTGTACAGCTTGTGTAGGGAGGCCCATGAATAGAAATGAATGTGCTTTTACCGTGACTGATCTCATCATTGACTGAGGGATTTAATTCTTGCTTCTTGCTTCCTGTTGCTGAAGATGTTGAAGAACCCAACACACAGAGGCTTCTCTCTCAGCCAGTTATCGTGTCTTCTAAGCTGCAAATCCCTGGCCTGCCCTTGCGCTGGGAACAGCAGAGCAAACTCCTTCCAAGTGTAGCTGGGATCCCAGCCAGCAAAGTTTCTAAGTGGAGTACAGATGAGGTAGGTTCCCCCTTTGTCTTCGGTCTTATTACCACTGTCCTTGATTCAGAGCTTTGGATTATCCCCATAGATTAAGAATAATACATGAGTACTCAGAGGATTAGACTCAGCCAAACCTAATGTAACTGATCCCCAAAATGCTCATCCTGCTGCCGCTGTTCCTGGTGCATAATTTGGATGTGGCACACTGCTTTGGAGAGTGACAACATAGTGCAGAGAGGAACTGTATGGATATGGTCAGGCTATAACACCTGATGTAAAGATTAGAGCCTCTGTTCAGGTATGTTACAATGCTTGGACAGACAGCATCTTGTCATTGCTTTACTTTCACAAGTACCTGTGACTGTTCTCTGCACCTGAGGCAGTTGGATCTCATTTAATCGGAGAACAAAAGAAGCATGACTCTATGCACTTACATAAGAAGGTGATGCACCTAATGTGAGACTGTAAAAACAATAGCTAAAAAACTTTAATGATTGTCAGCCTTAAAGACTATTTTGAGAAAACATGAGTCTCACCAAATCTTTTGTTGTATGCTTTGGTGGCAGGTCTCTGAATTTATACGAAGTTTACCAGGATGTGAAGAACATGGCAAGGTGTTTAAAGATGAGGTGCGTGAATTTTATTTCAAAAAGACAGAGATAACAAAGCTAGAAATTGGTAGAAATACATATAAATTGGTAGGATAAAGTGTATGGAATAATAGAATCATCAGGGTTAGAATAGATCTTTGAAATATTAGGTCTAACCCTCCAACCTGGCACTATCCATATCCCTCTAGCCTCTAAACCTTACCAACCAGCACCAGATTCAGATGCCTCTTAAACTCTTCCAGGGATGGTGACTCCACCACCTCCCTGGGCAGTACATTTCAATGCCACATTGTTTAAAGTCAGATGCAAATGTATGGAAGATTAGGTTGATTTTCAGGTCATGAAATGGGAAAAAAGTAAAGAGAAAACCAGCCACGTGTCAGCCAGATGTTTTTCCAACTTTGTTCCTGCCGATTGAAATTACTTACGAACTTTGTGATTTACTACTGTTCTCTCTTGGTCTGGTTGGACAAGATTTATAAGCAAGTATGTTATTTGAGTTCTCAAGGATGTTAATAACTAAAACAAAGCAGGACAGTGGTTTGATATAACCGTCTATTAAAACTCTTTGCGTCTTGTCTCCTCACATTTAGCTATTAATGCTCTTCCTCCTGATATAGCCAATTAATGAATGTGATTTAACTCAGCAGGAAGTGAGAAGATCTGAAGGTTCTAATGAGGTTCAAAGGAGCATGTACTCACTCTGTGAGCATGCCAGGTGTGCATTTTGGTCATCTGAGAAGATTATTTTTCTAAAGTTGTCACTAGGAATGAATAGGGCTTTTAGATCTATTAGGCATTATAACCTGGGTTGTCTTATTTTTTTTCTGCCCAGAGGTTTGTTATTCCTGCTAATGCTTAGCTTCAAGAAGGCAGTCTTATCACAGATGCCAGAGTGATCAGGTGCCAGATGACCTGAATGGGCAGAGTCAGCCAGCCTTTCAAGTGAAGAATAATTTTTGGTGCTTAGACTTGGGAAGGCACCTCCTGAGGAAAATGCATACAGATGGCCTTGTTAATCTCCTGCAACAGAAGTTTTCAGGCTGTGCTGTAGACTGTAATGACTATTACAGCTGCTTATCAAAGGACTGAGAGGCTGCATTTCTGGGCATTTGGCACTAGCTCAGATGTTGAGCATTTTACTGTTCAAGCCTGGATTGTCTCCTATGTCACTCAGGGTGTCTCATCAATGAATTTAGAAATAAAAGTTGGCATATTGCTAATCAAGTCAGCAAACAGCAAATGCCACAGATACGCTGAATCCTTACACTTTAATTCTCAGAGGTGTGAGAAAATATTTCCCTTCTCTAGGATTCAGCCTCTAAGGCCTTTTCTATGACTAGTAAATTAAATGTTCCCCACTGAGGTCAATGAGGTCATTGAGGCATGGACTGGCTGACATCAGTAGGCAGAAGATGCTGGTTCAAACTTCTACTATGGAAATGAACCTTCAGCCTGCTTCTGTTAAGATGCTTCAGCTTTTTATTTGGGGGGCCCCAAGTTCACCCACTTCAAGTTCTGAGCCCACCAAGTCTGGCTTTGTGTACGAAACGAGTAGAAAGTAATTGTGGGTTACCATATGGTGCTGTTCTGACTGCAGTGTTCCTCAACTTAGAGTGCTGGGGTGTCCTTTGCAGCATGTCTGGTTCAGAAAACTTGTTTCCTAGCCCTAGAGGAATTTAGACTGTTTTTATCTCAGGTTAGTATCTTTAAGGCTAAGCAGTGCTTCTGTTTAACCACAGTTGCGTTTTATGTATAGCTATCCAGCTTACACTGGATATAGATACCGAAGTGATCCAAAGGTTACATAGGAAATGTTGGCCCCATTGAAGCCCCTGAAGTGAGGACCCTGGGGACTCTTCCTGTTGGGATTTGGCACTCCTGCTGAGAGAGTGATTTGCTTACAGGAGAATGTTCATTTGTAATGTTTAGTAAAACATCAACAATACAAATAATAAATATTCCATGTTTTGAAATGTTCTGTTATGTTTGTGTCAAAAAAAACTGTTTTATTAGCCTGGCCCCTATTTTCATCTGGGATCAAATTAACTTCAATTTGCTATCTAGTGAGCAGAGAAGTGGTGGCCTGAAGAGGATTCCAGCTCTGTAGCTGGGAGTGAGATCCAGAAGCTTCTCCTGTGGATGCTTGCATAAAAAGAATAGCTCAGATTTTTAAAAGCATTGCTGTGCTTCAGTATAGTTGAATTACACTTAATTTACCCACTTTACTTTTCAATAGGTTTTATATTGTCAGTATGAAAATGAGAACTGTTTAGATAAAAATTAGCCAGACGGTTGTTTTCGAGCAGGAAGAAGATCATCCTGTTCTCTTAGACTAGCTGATCTGTCTAAAGGTTGAAATCAAAGCTCTCCTGAAAGCAGTTTGAAGTGCTTGTATTCAGCCAGCCCTTAACTTTGTCTGAAGTTGCTGGGACTTTTCTTTTCATGTTTTCTGAAACTTTTATACTGCTGCACTGTCAGACCTATTAATAGCTTTTTGTGTTTTTTCTTTTAAAGCAAATTGATGGAGAAGCATTCCTGCTAATGACCCAATCAGACATAGTCAAAATAATGAGCATTAAACTGGGACCAGCCCTAAAAATCTTTAATTCCATTCTGATGTTCAAAGCTGCAGAGAAAAACTCACACAATGAACTTTGAAGATAATGGAAAATGTGCACGAACCAGCTTTCTCCACTGGAGCTCATGTTTTATTCAAAGCACAAAGACTCACTAGAAGTGTTGAGTAAGGACTCTCAGAAAGGAAGAAACTTAAGTTCAGCACTAGTGGACTATTTATATTCTCCTGGAGCCAGTACACATCTGAATCCTTCTGGGAAGTGTTCAAGCTTTTGAGAAGGTACTGTGTGACAACCGAGTCAGCTGGTCTTATTTACCAAACTAATGGCGCTACTTCTCCATGGATGGTTAGGATCCCTAACTCTCTCTGGACATCAAGAAAACCTTCATTAATTATTTATGCTGTATTATATAAGGGAACGTTAATATTTTCTAAGGATTCTTGAATTGTACTTCATTTACCCATTTTACTTTTCAGAAGCTTTTACTTCATTTTATCAAAATAAAAACTGATCAGCCAAAAATTAGGCTACAGGTAGCCAGATGAGACTGTTATGGCTAATGTGTATTTGTGCCATAGTCTGAAAATGAAACACTTAATGTTACATATGTGACACTTTATGCTACAGCATATTACTTTACAGATAATAAAACTGTCTGTTTGCTTGTAAAAAAACAAACCTTGTTGGGGTTGAAATTATAATGCTTTTTTGATAACTGAATGTTTTTACTTTTGCACGATTACAAAAAATGTTACGTGAGTTTTGCCACCAGCATCTTTCATGTATTTTATCAAAAGACCAGTATAGAGAAGGCTGCGACTGAAAAATAAAGTTTGACTTCATAGAAGATTTTTGTTTATGCTGCACAATAGAGTCCCAGCCATTTACATGGAGTCTGCTACAGTCCTTCAGAACATGGAAGAAAATAGGAGTATGTTGAGGCAAGGAAATCAGCAGAAAAGAAATTACATGCAATTGTGTCTGCAATTCCCAGTCTTCAGCATAGTTACCACAACAATGGAGAAAAACTGTGCTCAAGCTAGGACTGCTACCCTGGTTTCATATTCAGCAGAGGTTTGTTTTCCTAGAGGTGGGAGAATGATTTTATTCACCACTTTCTAGCTGAAAACTCTGATTTGTAAATGAATAAGGCATAAGGAAAAGGCAAAGCACAGGGAAAAGTATACTTAAATGCTTGTGGTACACCGGCACATGCTAGGTGTAAAAAACATGCAATTCACTAGGTCATTAGCAGGCTGCAGGTGTCACCAGCAGGTACTGAGGTGAGGCAACCTCCTTTCTTGGAGGATTATTATAGGGAAAGTCGGAAAGTCGTTGCACATGGTAGATAAACACACAAGATGTAAACCAGATGCACTTTATATGGGAGAAAGCCTAGCTGCCTGTGTACTGAGGACTGCTCCAGAATTACTTTGCAAGAAGAGGGAGAAGAGTTGGATCAGGTTTTTTGGCAGCCCTCTGTTTAGTGCTGCAGTGGGCAGTTGCTCAGCTGTAGAACTGAGAACAAACAGAACATTCCTATTGCACAGAACAGGGAGAATGTTACATCTTCCCACAGATTTTGCTAGGCTTTTCTTTGGCTGGAGTCCTTAAGTTTTCACTCTCTGTGTCCCTTCCAGATCGTGTAGGTGACTGGTACCTGCCATAATATGAGGTGAAACAGGGTCAGTATTAAGTTGCATTGCTCTGTTAATTTCCTCCCATAGCATTGCATAAATAATATTTTTACATTTTGTTCAGTATGTGTACATTCAAATTGCACTCTTATTGTACTACAATACAAATAAAACCTGAACTGGAGTCTCTGTTACCTTTGTGTGTGCCCAGGACTCCCAGATGAACCCAGCTGCTCCTGATGGTTGTGGTGTGTATCGATTTCTCACTGTAGCTCAGTGCAGCCAGTGGTTTTAAAAGAGCAACTTAGTTACTGCTGTGTGCCCTCTCCCTCAGCACTTACTCCCAAAGCTCACGTCCCCCCTGGCCATTACAATCAGAATTCCATTTATATCCCTGGACTTTGTCACCAGCAGCAGCTGAAGTTGCACAGACAGATTAGTAAAAAGCCAAATTCTTCTGGTTTCTTTCATTCTCTCCTTCCATGTAGTTTATTTTCCTCTACCCTCTCTGTCTGTCCTGTGTGTCAGGTCCACAGCCTGCAGTGATAACCAACAAAGAGATTTGCAGCTCAACAGGGATTACTTGGGGATCTTAGCACCTCCCTGAATTTTTATATACAACTACTTACAAAGTACTGTGGTTTAAGAAATGGATTTAAATTAATACTGTTTACACGATGTAGAATAAACCTCACTTGAGCCAAATTTTTTGTGCATACAGCTATCACATACAATAATGAGGACATACATAATCCTTACTTTTATGTCCCATATGATGAAGGAGCTTCCCATACATCATCATCATTCCCATACTACATCCTATATGATGTAGTACAAAAACTACAGTCAACAAATTTACTTGGAAACTAAAACCACTCATCAGACCTAGTGGATCTCTGAAATGGCATTGTTTTTTGTTTTGTATCAGTGGTAGCCCAGCCCTCACACTGGTAAAGGTTCCCTGCATTCCATGGGAACCATGTGAAGCCTATAGCAGGAGAGTTTGGCCATCAAATGCAGCCATCTCCTCTCATCCTGAAGGATCTCCCACTGTAATCACTGCCTTGGAGTCACCCCTGCACAGCCAAAATTTAACCTTCCAGGCTGTGTGTTTGAGTGTTTAAGGAATCATGGTGACCACAGGTGCTGTTTTGCCTAAGGTGGCATTTTTGGCACTGGTGGGAGATTGGTCTCTAATAGAAAGCAGTATTTTAATAAAAAGCTAGTTCTTAATTCTAATTAATGCAATGGGTCCTGGCTGTTGTGTGTTCCTATCACCAGGCACTTGTCCAGAGCCATGCACTGCCAGACAGTATCCCCTGGGATTTTCAGACAGGAGTTAAGAATAGAGTGTTGGGAAAGAGAAAAGGCTGTGGAAGAAGAGAGGACAGGGCTTCTGCTCTGTGTGGGCAGAGTCACCATGTGGAGAAAGCTGATTTGTTCCATGGAAAGAAGTGTTCCCTCTGCAGCACCAAAGCTGTGGTTACCAATGCACATGGCAGCATCCCAGATACGTCATTCTTGCTGCTTTGAGAGCTGGTCTTAGAATCCCTATTTAGTAAATTCAGGATTAATGTTAAAACAAAATGTTTCATGCAAGAAGAAAACAGTAAAAAGTCATCATCCTGTAAATTGAAAATCAGGCCACCATTTTAAACTACTAAAATCATTATATTAGGCTCTCAGCAATCATAGCATTATGAAGTAATGGTAATAAGTAAATGTTTAATTTGTGCCATTTCGAAACATTAATTGTATTACCATCTGAAGCAGTGAAATGCTTATGTTGGCTCATTTTTTTTTTAATTCTTACAATCAAAATATCTGATTTTTTCAAATGCTCCTTATAGAAAAATAATACATAACACATGAAGTAATCTAGAAAATTTTATTATCTCTTGACTGCTCTGAAATCTACATTTAAAATAATGAAATTGCTTGAGTTTTAATTTTTTGTTAGAAGTAGCCAGTACAATAAAAAAAGGAGGACATCACTAAACATAGCTTTTAAATATACATACACTTTCACTAGAAAGAATGGCACAAAGGGATTTATTTTAACAAAATATCAAATGCTCCTGAGAGGAGTGCTGGGTGCACCATCAGATACTGGATGCTTGGGTGTCTCCAGCCCTGTCTTTACTGGAGTGGGCAGGGATGCTGGGTTCCTCACCTCAAAGACCAGGGACTCCAGGAAGTTCAGCGTCCTGTGGATTCTCTTTGGGCACGGGATATCAAACACATGGAATGCAGCCACCAGCGCTGCCAGAGCCATGGTGCAGTCATCCAGCTGGGCTAGCTCTTCCCTTTCTATGTACAGGGCAAACTCACATGAATTCATGTTGAAGGGATTTTTCACTTCCAACACTGGTGTCACTGCCTTTACCTAAATTTAAAAAAGGGTATTTCAAATGATGCCACAACATTTCTGTGATGAACAGATCAGAGAATGAAGTAAGGCTGATAACAGTGCTTTGAAGTTCTATGACCATTTCTACTCAAAAGGCAGGCTAATGTCACCTCTTCCCAGAACTAAGCTGAGCCACCAAAAGGCCAGGTGATGTGCAGGTGATAAAAGGAAGAGAGACCAAGGCTGCTGGTGCTCTGTCTCCTACCTCCTCATTCACTGCAGCAAACAAACTGGAATCATCTCCAAAGACCTCTGGCAGGAGTAAACACGCAGCAGTCATTTTCATATCTGTCAAAGGCAAGGATTTCTACTAAATTACAAAAGAAAACTTTTTGGCACTGCAGTATCATCCTGGAAAAACAGATTGCAGCCTACATAATAATTAACAGCTCAGTAGTGAAGCTGTTTTTCAGTCCACTTTGGAGAGTAGTTTGTACCACAGTCAATATTTAGGCAACTCAGCTGGCAATGAACATTAGTGTCAAATAATTCATGGGACTCTGTTACTCAATATTACAATTCAATTTTCTTCACAATAAGTAAGTTGGCCTTTAGGCTGCTTTTAGTTGTGTTTGTGAGCTGAGTAGTCTTCCTGCCCTCACTGCCCTTCCCCAAACTCCTCTCTCCTCAGTAAACTGGAAGTCCAGGGAGTCGTGTTTCCAGAACTCTGCTTTGAAGGCTGTGGTACCAGCTGGTGCTGCAGAACCTCCTTGTACCTGCCATCCCTCTGGCTCAGCTGATATTGACTATAACATCTTTTTTGCAGGTCACGCTTCTGGTGTCATATGCTTCACTGAAATTACCTCACTATGCATTTATAATCTACATGCCAGGTCAAGCCGTTTGTGAGAGAAAAGTAGAAAAGACGTGGGACTTTACTAAGGCATGAGTCAAAATCTCTGTGGACATGCTGTATAAGAAAAGGGGAAATTACTTATTATATCCATAGATTTCCTTGGCCAAAGCTATGAAAAGAAAGTCCATAAAGGCTTTCTAGATTAGACTATTCATTGAAGAATTTTAATCTATCATGCCTACTTTTGTTTTTAATCTTAGCAAAGGAAATCCCCAGAATTTTAACCTACACTTCCTGCTTCTTTCAAAGATGACCTGGCAATAAGTGGAGTGAAAGTAGGACACACGTGTTCATATGGTGTGACCTTGGATTGACATCCTGGCATTATGCCTGTTTGACAGAAAGTGAGTCTAAGGAGGACTTCTCAGAGAGCTCAGCTTGGGCACAGGCAGCGGCAGCTGGGCAAGAATGGCAAATCTGAGTGACTGCTTGAAAAGTTTGTCCCTGCAGGACCACATTCCCCAGACTTCTCAGACTGAAAGAAGCTGAGTGTCAGCAGGTGTTTGCTCCCCCACAGCCAGGGTACATGGACCTCACCAGAAGCACCAGTCTGTGCCCTTTTTCCTGCAGCATGTCTCTGCAGAGATGAGGTGCCTGAAATGGTTAGTGGGAACTACTTCTTTAATTTTACTGGGGTGAAGATTATAACCATAGAAACTTGACTTGTGAAGAAAATTGTGTCTTTTTTATGGGGCTATTTCTAAAGCAGAAAATTAGTTTTCTGTGGGTATTTTTAGAAAATAATAAGCACTCATATCTAGAAATA